CCTTCCCTTGGCTTTAGTCTGATGGAACTCTGAGGTTTTGTAGTAAAAGCCATGTGGAAATCTTTGATGGGATTCAAGGACAAACCTTTGCTCTTTTTGAAAGACTTCTATTATTTTTTATAGTAATTTGGAGTGCATGCCAATGCTGCATTTAGCAATCAGTTTTTACCAAATCTGACTCATTCACTACCATTCAGTTGTCATAAAGAGTTAATGCAAGAGCCAGATACTATGTAATGCTAGAAAGTTGCAATTTGCATCAATATTAGACTATTAACATTTAGAAATTGGCATTTAATATTCATTGGGAGCATGTAAGAGCTGAGATTAGACATAAGTGGGCATCTTCCTTTCTGCTCATAAACAAAAGGCTATTGAGCTCTGTCTTTCATTTCCAAAATAAATCTTTCAACCAAGAGCCAACATTTTCTATATCGGTAGCTACCATCTGTCATCCACTACCCAGTCAGACTACTCTACAAGCCATATTTTGCCTTCGGTTAGGGTTAGGATTAAAGAATGAAATAAGCTTTGATTGCTTTTGGGGGATCATATTTGGAGTTTTCATAAGCCATCTAGAACTGTGTTGAGAATACCAACCAGGAAAGACATAAGTAGCTCTGTAGTGAAGCAGCAGTGAAGCAGCAGCAGTGATGAGATTTTGGTCAGAACTGAGCAGCAGGACGAAAAAAAAAAAGAAAGGACGGGCACTTTTGGATTAATCTATCTTTGAGTTGCGGTCCTTTTTTACAGCAGACAAAATCTTACATTTCTGGGATATTTTCCTTTTTGCTAATCTATGTTATGCAATTGAATCAGCAAAAGTTAGTCAGTTGGTGCCCCAATGTCAATGAGCAACTAGGTTTAAATCTGAGCTCCGGTTGTGTGAGGTCAGTTGGTTCAAAGTGCCATCACATCAGCTGGAGTCAAGCAGCACTCTCTTGCTTTTTCAGACCAAAAGTGTGTACGTTCGCACTGCAAGCCTTAGTGCACAATTTTTGTTTATTGCTGAGAGGTGATTTTTTTTGTTTGGCTGTTCCCATTATTTTTTAAATGCAGCTCATATCAGATTCCAGTATGAGGACAGTCTGAACACCTCACTGTCCCTCCACTGACCACCTCTATTGCAGCTCTCTTCCATGTTTGTATTCACTGGGTTCAGAATTTTGATGAATGTCAATTCAAATATGATTGTTCACACTCAAGTCGCATTGGAAAAAACATAAGACCTGCATCTAATTTGAACCATAGATAAAACTGGTCTATATCAGAATTGAAAAGATCAGATTCCATGTGATTTGTACTGTTCACTCTGTCAAGAAATAATCAGATCTGAGTCACAATCGAGCAAAAAAAAATCTGATTTGGACCTGCAAGTGTGAACATAGGCAAAATGGTTCACATCTGCTCCATAGTTTGCATGTGACTTGAATTATCAATGTACACAGTGTTTTTAAAGATCACTATAGTTATCAAACTATAAATGTAATGAAAATCCACTGTATTTGTTTTCATAACCAAACACTGTTTATCAGTGTGATCCAACAGACACACTGGGATGTTCTCACTGAGACTGTGTTTATGCAATCGAGTCGGCACAAGTTAGTCAGACCGGTGCCAGCACTTCCCCAATGTCCATGAGCAACTTCAGTTTAATCAATCTGGGATCTGGTTGTGACGTAAGTTGGTTTAAAGTGCCATCACATCAGCTGAAGTCCAGCAGCACTCTCCTGCCTGTTTGTAGATTATGTTTTATCTGCTTCTTAGTTCAGGCCAAAAAGGACTTCTTATCCATCTGCCTCAGGTCAAAATACCAACCCAGCGTATGAGCAGAGCTCGACTAATGCTTCTTGCTCCACGGGTTGCATGTGGCTTGAGTAATCAGTTTACATATTACTTTTGAAGTGTATTATAGTTCTAAAACAATAAATATAATGAAAATTCCCTGTATTAGTTGGGATGTTCTGGTTGATGCTGTTTATGTTTATAGAGACTCCCTAATCTGAATTTAATGTTCTTTTAGTCCTTTACAGTGAGTTTAACATTTTGACCTTCCTTAGACGTTATTGCTAAAGCATTAACTTGTGCAGTACACCCGAAATCCAACTTAATGCTCCTTGTAACTGATTACATGAATGGGACTGTCAACTGATGGTAGATGAGCAGTAACACGTGCAGGGGGATATATCTATGAAATTATATTGCAATGTACATTAATGCAACAAGATTTGGTGGCAGCTAGACACAGAAATTAAAACAATACTGTGACATCTACTAAACTGGCTCTGAGCATCACAGAGGTCCACTGAAAGATTAATGTCATATTCCAAAATCTAAATGTGACAATTTGTAGAGCAATATTAACATGACAGCTCCAACTAAAAGGAAGAGAAACACCATTTCTACATACAAATAATACTCCCTGATTCTATTAGGCCCATTATTATTACAACTAAGCACATATTTTGCTCCCTTTTGAAAGTGATTTATCAAACTTCATTCTGGTCATTCTTATTTTATCTGTTTGCTTGATTTTGGTTCATCAATGTGTGCTACTGAACAGCTCTTCTTTTGCAATTCAATCCATAAAGTATTAACTGGTGGGCAGTCACTAACCTACATCTGTGCTGACCCTAAAACAGTCCTGTGACTACTGCCTTCCCAGCAGGGGTGATGTGTGTTAAATCAGGCCAGTGTAACACCCCTGAGGCAGTTGCAGGCTACAAACCCTGTGCCTCAGTCTGAAGGCCCCTTCTAGCCCAGCGTGGACTACAGCATCCTCTCCCAACATCACTGCAGCATCCTTTTAAAAGATGACCAGCAACGTGTGGTGACCTGTCAAGCAGAAAAATGCACACACTGCAAACCATACACGCGTAATTATGTATAGAAACCAATGCGCATCTGACTGGCTGTACCTGAGGCAGGCATCAACAGCTGGAAGCTTTCACTGCACAACATGTACGGCTACTAAACGCCTACCAGCCGTAGATGCACGCTCGCAGACGCTGCTCGGTGCAGCGTGAGCATCCGTCGTGTGTACTGTAAGATGGCCCTGCACGGCGATGAGAATCCCCCAAAGCAGACACCAGCTCCATCCTCGTCATCTTTGAAGAGCTTTGCTTGAGTAGGCCAAGCTCTGCCACTTCCGACATGGAGGCAGTGCTAAGCCAATGCTACACGCTCCAAAAAAAAATAAAAAATAAAAGACAAGATTTCCGTTTTTATGTTATCGCACACGAAGCGAGCATGTTTTTTTCGGCCGTTATATTTTATAAGCGAGCGGGGAATAAAAACGAGCCCAATGCGTAATCTGGCACCGCTTGCTGAGATGATCAACCTGACTCAGACCAACAGGCCCGCTAGTCCCAGTGACTCCCAGTTCAGACGATATTAAACCTAACAGCGGCAGCATTTTGCGAAACACCTCTCTTTGCCTTACCTCGTAATCGTTTCTCATCGTGCGTGGAGTCCTAATCTGCGTGAAACCGTGTCCATGACATGCTCTTTTTTTTTTTTTTTTTTTAAAGGGGGAGAAAAAAAAATCGCCCCCTCCGCTAAGATCTCAGCATCAGCAGCAAGCCTGTACAATGAAGCAGTGATGGCCGGTGATGATGCTGGGAGCCCCGCCCTCCTCCCCATGCAGCCAGAATGAGCTCACTGGTTTCCAGCTCAGCCGGCTCCACCGCCACCGCAGTAGCGCCAGCACATAGGCACACAGATCACAGGAGACCCAGTGTGCATTCCACCGGCCGTAGCGTTACTGGGAATTATTATACTTACACAAAAACCGTGCACAGCATGCTTGGGCAATAGGGTCATGGCAGTAAAGCAGATTTAAAAACGTTTACACCGGTAGTGGATTCTCATTGTAGCATTATAAAAATGTTCCTTGGAGAACTGTGGCTTATACTGCATATTAACAAACTGATTTCTGATGTTGTTCATTTACTCCAACACAAGCTTATTGGTAGGATTGTGCTTCTCATGGCGGGCACTAATACATTATCACTGTATCTATCTGAGTGTTGCATGCGTAAAGAAATCCAATCATTGTGCCAGATACAGGGCAAACAACTTTAAGTGATGTCTGTCTAAGCAGGTCTTTACAACCTCCATAGTCTCCACTCCAGAGGTTAATGAATAACGTTTAGAATTAACCGCAAAACGCATGTCACCTAGCTACGTCTGTGGAATTGCAATGTTCTGAGACTGAAAGGTTTAACTGAACTGACCTGAACACATGTTTCTAAAAGCTAAGCTGACTAACTCAAATTGTTACTATGTGCTTCCTATACTGTCCAATATCACGTGTTGCAGCTCGCTGTTTGGGTGATGCAGTGCAGATTGAGTGAGAGGTAGTGCCATCTAATGGTCGGTCCCAGAATTGTGAGTGATTCCCAGACCCGTTCAGTAGCTAAGCCATTGACATTATATAGTGTACACAGCTAAAGATTTCTTAGGTAAATAAATACTACAATAAACGTCTAAAGAGTGTCCAGATAGGCTACTTACTAATGCAGGTGTCATGAATTCAGCCTTAATGTTTATTTGACTAAAATCTGTGCTGATTATCATCATATGTTTATTCTTCTCAACTGCACTTCAGAAGTTTTCAAAAGTTCATGTGAGAATCTATCCAGTTTGGCAGTACATAAGTAGACTTCATAGCTTTGTAACATACTGTGAATGATTTAGATTCGGTATAGGATGTGACCATCCTCACTAGCAAAAAAAAGAATAAGAAAAGAAAAAAAGCTGCTTATCCTGGAGAGACCAAGTTCACAAGTCACTGAAGACTCTAATGTGTTACAGATGTCGCAGCAAGATCCCGTTTAATGTGGCTGACTGTTCTCCAAGTCAGTGACGCAGCTGTCATATGACCCCCAGTGTGTCGCTGTGTGTGAATGGACAAATACATTACAAAACAATTGTTAATCTGTCATTGTGAAGTTCCTAACCCCGTCAGACATTACTAGTGTAGGATGAATAAAGGCGGAACAGTCTATTTGCACCGCCCCCCGTGCACTGTCTTCAAGCTTGTTTTACCCAGCTCCGATAATCACTTCATCTTCGCATCAGTCATTTAAATAGCCTAGTTAATGTCTAAGCCAACACCATCTTCAGTAGAGGGACTATCCGAGCTACCATCACATCTACACTTTGCTTGCAACAAACCCCAAACACGTATTCGACTTCACTTCTGCGTGTGTGGGGTTTTTGGCTAGTACGCACAAAATCTTCAAGAAGGAAGTTGCCCCCACAAAGTGCTTTTAGGAAAGATGGGCATGAAAGGAAAGAATGGATCCTGCATAGGCTCTGCGCCAAAGGGATACTCACAGACGCCTAAAGAGTTAGAGGGACGGGGGTACTGGGGGAACAAAGCCGAGTTCATCCTGACTGTGATGGGAGCGATCATCGGACCTGGGAATATCTGGCGGTTCCCCTACCTGTGCTACAGAAACGGGGGAGGTGAGTGATTGCGCACAGCAACTGTTGCTCTCAGTTTGTCAATCTGGGATGATTATTGGGGATTTCTTTAATTTACTAAGAGGTAAAGATTCTCTCTTTTTTTTGCAGGTGTGTTCTTCATCCCATATATTTTGTTCATGTTTACATGCGGAGTCCCCTTATTTTTCCTTGAGACTGCTTTAGGCCAATACACAAACCAAGGAGGAATTACGTGCTGGAGAAAGATCTGTCCCCTTTTCCAAGGTAAATAAAATGGCTTATTCCCCCCTATATATTTGTTTGAAGGTATACATGATAATGTATTTAACGCGTCGTTATATTTTGCGCAACTAATTACGCACAGAATCAATCCTTCTAATCATATCACCGTCTGTTACCAGATTGGTTTGAAGCTGATAATTCCTTACTGTAAAGTGTTACCAATTAGTTTTGTGTTTTTAATGACAAAATAATTTATGTATAATGAATATTATCTGTGTATCTGTCCTCACTTATTTTGTTTTTCTGTTTCAGGCATGGGTTATGCCAGTCACTTAATCATTGCTTTCAGTGCTACCTCCTATATTACCATACTTGCTTGGGCGTTCTTTTACCTGTTCGCATCCTTCAGTGCTGAGTTGCCCTGGGCCACATGTGGAAACTACTGGAACACAGGTAGCCAGTCCTGCTGCTTTTGGAAAGGGCTTTGGAAACATGTTGCCTAGGTGTAAAATATGGTTTATAATACTAAAGGCTGGCATGAAGAGTTTTGCTGAGATGTAGTTAGTAGAGTATCATTCATTTCACTGCAATATTAGCGAAAGAAAAGCCACAACGATAGAGCTTTTTTGCATGTTATTATGACTGAGGCACTCTACAAGGCATGCTTTAAGTTCACCAAATGAGCATTTTTATATTCCCATTGTTTTATTTTCTTATAACAGACTTATGCTTGGACCTCAACCATCCAAATCAGAGCCAATCCAGACTGAACGCCACTCTTCCCGTTGTGGAGTTCTGGCAGTAAGCATATAGTCAACTCACACAAGCTTAATTTAATGCAATTTTTTTCTTTCAATCCCTTCCCTTCTCTTTTCTTTCTCCTTCTCTTCTCTCCTCAACCCACCCTTTCACTACATATGCTCTCTTCCTCCCCTCCACTCACTTCACCTTTGATTTACTCCTCTCCCTTCCTCTCCTCTCATTCACCTAGCCTTTCATCCACCCTCTCTCTCTATAGTTCAGTTTCCCTCCCTGTCACCTGTCATTCATTTTTGCTCTCCCTCTCATGCCCATCATTGCTCCCTCCTCTGTGCAGACGCCGGGTTTTGAAAATCTCTGGTGGTATTGAGGAGGTGGGCAGCTTGAGATGGGAACTGGTCTTGTGTCTCATCCTGACCTGGGTCATCTGCTACTTCTGCATTTGGAAGGGCATCAAATCAACAGGAAAGGTTAGCTGCTCAAACACTGAACAATATTCATAAATAAGTTTCACATATTTTTGTACAAAATCTCCACAGAATGTTGGTTCTAAAGATGTTTAGAATAAGTCTTATAAGAGTTTTGTTTTCCGCAGCATACTTTCATGCATTTCAAGTTATCACTTGATTAAACCTGACATCAACACATATAGTTCACTCTCTCCCAGACACTAATTTATTTGACACATTCTTTAAACCTTTTTTTTCTCTTTACCTACACTTAAGTTCACATTAACTCACACAAACCCTTTCCCTTTCCCTATCACGCCATGGCTTTGTTGTTGATGTAGCACACAACAACTCAAATGCTTATTAAATGCAAGGACCTAAGGGCACTGATCCTGGTAAGACAGATCAAGGGACATATCTCAAGAATAATTCATCGTATCAGAGGGGTTGTTGACTAGTGGCTATGGGTAAGACTGGTGAAACCAGTTATACAGCGATGGTGTTTGGACAACCAAGAAGGCCATGGCATTCAAATGATACTATCTATCAAGCCAGTGGGGCCATGGTAGTTTAGCCTAAACAGATACAAGTGCAAGTAGGAGTTAAAGGTAAGTTAGGTCAGGGCGAATGGTGTCACCAGACTCGGAACCTGGTAGATTTTTGATGGCACAGCCTGATACCCAGTGCAGGGCTACTGATAACTACATGCCTTAATATACATTTTCAGGCATTATTTGTGATAACATGTGACATGCAAAGGGAGATATCTGAATGAAAAGATAAATTAAAATATCTAGAAAAATGTGTGATCGAATGTTGAACAAGCAAAGACAAAAGTGCATAGCGCCCTCTGCTGTTTAAAAAGTCACCTGTCATCTCCCCGATTTTGAGAGCTCATAGATATGTATGAAGAATAGTTAGTTTTTTAGACAAATTGTCACAATTTGACAATTTTGCAGTGGCATCATGGATGTTTGCATCACAACTGCTTGCTAACTATATTCCTGTACCATAAACCTTTTGCAGTATATGGCCAGTTCCCGAACACATCACCACATGAGTTTTGGCCAGAGGCCGCAGGATCAGAGCCAATATTTAAGTTGTAAAACAGGCACTGAAGGCTGCAGCTGTCCAGAGTGCTGATCCAGTGACTCTCAGCACTGCAGGGATTGTCTCAGGAATTCAGCATTGTTCACCCTTGGGATTGCCAGCAGAAAGTTTTAAAAGTTTTTCTCTCGTCTGTTTCATTCCCAGACTGTGAGACATGTCCTCTTGTTTGAGGCTTGGTTCAGTTGTAGGCAGTAGTGACTGTTGTTTTATATTTGATTTTTTTATGAAAATGAAAAATGTAGCTGGCTCAGACATTTGTTGGAGAGCACATGTTTATCTTCTTCCAAACATTTGGTCCTTGGGTCCATGACATCATGAACTGTGTTGTTTTCAAGGGCTTGGGTGTCTTCCTGAGTCAAGTGTGTGTCGCAATTTGTTTCATAAGTGAGTCCCAACAACCTGTGTGAGTGTGTGATCGATTAATCATGTAAGTCATTTGTAAATGAAGATGCAATATTTGGTGTTTCCAGCCTCCCTAATTTGAGGATTTGTTGCTTCTCTCTCTTTTGTATTACTCTAAACTAAACATCTTTTGGTTTCAGATTGTTGGTTGGAAAACAAGACATTTGAAGATGTCATGTTGGGTTTGGGGAAATTATGATGGACATATTTCACCATTGTGTGACATTTTATAGACCAATTCATTACTCAATAATGGAATTATTGATCCCACACGAGGGGTATTCACTATACCTACACTCCAGATGCTGCTGATCTGTTACACCATAGAATCGTGCCAGCAGCTTCTTACTTTCTCTGTTTCTTCTTACCTATCAGGCAGCCTACTTCACAGCCACCTTCCCCTTCATCATGCTGTTTGTTTTGCTCATACGTGGTGTTACCCTACCAGGGGCGATGGATGGGATCATTTACTACCTCTACCCTGATATCTCTCGCCTTTCAGATCCCCAGGTAAGAACACACATACAGTCTTTGGAGCAGAACCACTACATTGATTTCGCTACACAGAGACATGCACACACACATACGCACACATATTTGTTTTACCTTTTCAGGTGTGGATGGATGCTGGCACTCAGATCTTCTTCTCTTACGCCATTGGCCTTGGGTTCCTGACCTCTCTTGGGAGTTACAACACTTACAACAATGACTGTTACAGGTAAGCACAGGGCTGATCTGTCATAACTAACCTACTGGAAATGACATGTAACTATATCTGTATCATTAAAGAAAAGGGTAGTGTTTCTCTTCTTCTTGTCTTTTATGTCTCTGCAGACTTATTTCCTGGTGTGTGGTCCCTTTATATGTTTTTAAGTGAAATGTCATGCTGCAAAGCCAATAATTTCTTCAGAAGGAAATAAAACATCTGATAATCAAAGCTAAAAATGAGAATCTGCTTCTGCCTCACTTTGTATCCATCCATACACTCCTCAACTGTTTACACATTTCTAGAACTCTTTTCATTTTTCTTTCAGGGATTGTTTCTACTTGTGTTTACTGAACAGTGCCACCAGTATTGTGGCAGGCTTCGCCATTTTCTCTGTTTTGGGTTTCATGACCTACGAGCAAGGAGTCGATATTTCTGAAGTAGCCGAATCAGGCAAGTACTGACTCAGTTGAGTTATTTTTATAGTGAGCATCAAAGTGAATTGTTTTAACACATTTCCCGTAATTCTTGTTGGCGTAGGTTCTAGTATAAATAGTCAGATACTGTACCCTGCATAGACACTACCGCTTCACCGAATTGTGCCAGATCATGTGATGGTTCTTCATCCTTATCCCCTTATCTTTCCATCATAAGAGGCTTTCTGCCAGACTTTGTACATTCTTCCGTCATCTGTATTATTATTTCCCCCTTTAACTTTAAGTATGCGGCTCAGTTCAGGTGAGCAAGATTACTGCTAATGAGCGAGCAGAAGGAATGCAGCGCTAAAGACAAAAAAGATTAGTAAAAGTCAGTTTTGATATTAATCATGACCTACATTTTGAGAATCATGAAGTAATCTGTGTGTTGACTTTTTTGCAAACCACTCAGAACTATAACTGCGTCCACAGGTCTTCGATGCTGCTCATCACATTTGTTTTTTATTCATTACAGGATTATTACTGTACTGTAACCCGTAATCCCATTCCCAGTTCTGTTGTGAGCATATCGCAGCTTTTCTTAAATTACTAGTGTTTTATTTATCTACATGTTAGGATTGCGGCATTAAAAGGATCAATTTATTCAATATTCTTCATCCATTGTTGAAAAAAAAATGTATGTGTGTAATTCAGAATATTATTAAGACTTTTGAAAGTTTTAACATCTTCTAGATGCAGTTTGATGAAGTGACTTATATATCACATTGATAAGCATGTGTGAGGCATACATGGATGCACATATGTAGCAACAAGCACTGTTTTCAGATAGCTAATGTTAGCAAAAGTGGTGCCAAAGTTTTATTACCATAGCTAATTCTTTACAGAAATGTTCACATTAAAAGCAGTAGCAGACTTGTTTTCTTCTTATCTCTGTTGAGAGTTTCTCATGCACAGTACTGATGGGGCAGGAGGTACGGATCAGGTACTGACAAGGATCTCTCGACCACTGGTGCACATTCCTTAAAACCTGATTCAATTTAAATTGATCACAAGCTTATAGGAATCACACGTGTAAAATAGAAAATCCTCAATACAGAAAAGTAAGAATGAGATACATACAAGTTCCCTTCAATTTATGTTTGTATTATATCTTGTTACATCCTGTTTGTGTAGGTCCAGGGTTGGCATTCATTGTCTACCCACGTGCTGTAGCCATGATGCCCATGCCTCAGGTGTGGTCGGTGTGTTTCTTCATCATGATCATTCTACTTGGATTGGACAGTCAGGTACCAGCCAAAATGTCTCTAAAAGAATGCATGAATTAACAAGCCCTAACTCTCTTTCCTCCCTCTGCTTCCTTCCAGTTTGTTGGTCTGGAGTGTCTGATGACGTCAGTGGTTGATCTGTTCCCGACTTACCTGCGCCAAGGCTATAGACGTGAGCTGCTTCTGCTGGCTATCTGCAGTACCTGCTGTTTGCTGGGACTCTCCCTGGTCACTGAGGTTCGTACAGTATGGTTCAATTAGCAAAAGCTTTCCTTAATTCTTTCCACCATATAATTTGTGTAGCAATAAATGTGCTTTACAAAGTTTTTAAAAATGATTACAGAAATCAAAGCAGAGAAGCAGTGCAAGACGCATGAAAGCAAACAAGAAAATAAGTAAATCCGAATGAAACTCAAAAAGTGATTCAAAAGATGATAAAACAAATGCTGGAAACAGCTTTCCTGGCGCTGTCTGACGGCAACAAAATCCACATACCATCACTTCTAATATGTACAAATTATATTTTTAAGTGTAAAAACAATTTGCTTCCTGATAAAAAAATATAATTATTTGATGTTACATAGGCTTTCTCTGAACACAAAGCTTTTTTCCACAAAACACACAGTTTGTGTTGTTTTAGTTGACAGAGGTGCACACACACATTGCTCTTAGATCAAAAAATTTCATTTATGGAGAGTTTTCGCCTCACTTTGCTTTTCAATTTAGCATCTATGAAATATTGAAATGTTCATTAAAAAAATCATCATGCATAGGCTACATAATTTAGCTGAAGGTGTAAGAAGATATTGCTTTTGTATTAGGTAAATATGTGTGAAAGCACCTCTGACATAATCAATAGGAAAAAAAATATCTCTTCTAATTCTAGGCTGGCTGATTGTTTTCAAAATCATCCTGTGGGATCCATTGTCTTTAAATAAAGTGTTTTTTTCATTTACTTTTCATACAGTGTTAGTGTAGTGTGTTTTCAATGCCCCCTTCCCCTCTGTTCTTCCGACACCACCTTTTGGCAACAAAATTACTCCATAAATTCATCCAAATGCAGGAAAACGTTCTCTTAAATTAACAATTCCCTAGACACCCTGGTTAGGTTTGCTATTGCCAATTTAGACTATGATGTCTGAAGTATGCTGATCAGCCATTATTAACCATCATTATTGACTTTGCTTTTAGATTGTAAATGCTTTAAAATTGTGGTTTCTGAACGTTTAAAACAAAAGTCCTTTGGGTTGATGAGCGATGACCAAGACCACTGCCGTAGGTATTGTCACAGAAGGCCCACTCACAAAATGCACTGACTTCCTTGATACTGAATTTCAAACAAAATTGAAAAGTTGGACGTATCTGCCAGAGCAAATAAAACATGAGCTCTCAGATTCATCTGGTTCCCAGGCTACAGTTTCTCAGCCAAACACAATGAATACTGTTCTTACTGTACTAGAAAGCCATTCAATACAGATGTGTTTTTGTCAAAGTATTCAAGCTACTGCACACTAGTTTACAGAAAATGAAAACCTCACATGCACTAACCTCCCTCTGTTGTTCTACAAGAAGGTTTGCAGGAAGCCTGCCAGACCCTCCAGCAGTGTCTTTCTTGCCAGTTTTCTCATGTATAGTGTTATGGGAATTAATCTCTCACACATTAGACGTCCAAATATCTAGTACAAAAGCCACAGACATGATTAAGGGAGTTAAGGAGTGGCAGAGCTGTCAAAGAAAAATTACACTACTTACTGTAAAATACTGTTACTTCTTTTAGAGATGGAAGATAACTATATCTGTGAACAAATCATTTTTTTGATAATGTGATGCTGGTATTAAATTAAGTTTTATAACTAGGTTCTGAAACAAAGACCACGCCTTGCACTCATCTCATTTCTGCTCAAAACGTACTTAGGCACACCTGATCAGTTCACTCCCTCCTCCACATCCCTCTCCCCCTGAAACCGTTCTTTCCTTTTCCCCCATCTCTCTTATCCAAATACAGGAACCACTGGGGCTCTCTACAAGAGATATGAAGAGACAGCTCCCCCACTCAGAGTCTCACAACCCACTCGGTTCCTTTTTACCATCTCGCTGAACACTTCTGTCCATTCATCCATCCGACAATAAACCCACCTTTCTTCCATCTGTTCATTCCTCACTCTTCCTTCTGATCCCCCTTCATTCCTTAACCTTCAACCCTTCTTCTACCCCCATCTATCGACCCCTAACCCCATCCCTCGACCCTCATCCCTTGATCCTTTAACCCTTGTTGAGGGATGAAGGGAGTTGGGACTTGGGTACAGTTACAGTAAAAGAACAAGTTTTGCATTCTTTTGTCAGGATAATGGTCAGGTCTTGAAAGAAAAGAGAGAAAGAAAATATGTAATACTTTTGGCTGCAAAAGGCTGAGGTTAGTCATTATTATCTTTATTTATTTAATATTTCATAATATAGATTATTATTGTTACTTTGTTGTTTTTAGGGAGGGATGTACCTACTCCAGCTGTTAGACCATCATGTTTGCAGCGGCACCACCCTGCTCCTCCTATCCCTTTGTCAGTCTGTCAGCATTGCCTGGGTGTACGGTAAGTCACAGACAATACAACCAACCACGTAAAAGACTATATTCTGTTGACAAAAAAAGAGACACAACTCTTACTCAGATTATGAGAAACTTGGGTTACAACTATTTTCAATTGGGCAAAAGCCACTGTATGTACGTTTGGTATGTTAATTCATCTAATAAAAAATGACCTTTCTAATATCTTTCCCTTCACTGAAGGTGCTGATCGTTTCTATAGCAACATCACAGACATGATTGGTTATCGTCCATATCCATTAATGAAGTACTGCTGGAGTTACATCACTCCCTTCATCTGTGTTGTAAGCGTTCAGTCCTTTCATTCATATCACATTTGTTTCCTCCATGTGTGTTACTATCTTTCTCGTGTCTGTTTCCATTTGATAAATGATATTATATTTAGTGTGTACATTCATGAGAGTGTAGTAGCACAACCACCCTAGTGAGAATTATTAGGTGCAGCTCGCAGGCACTGATGCACACAGATGGTGGATTTACTGCATTGTAATATCTGTATATCACTCACCTCTTCCCCATTTGGCTTGGAGTTAACTTGAAATTCCTCGAAGCTGAACTTTACACCGCAAACACGCAACATAAACTACTGCCATCAAATAAACAATATGCATGTCACAAGGTAAATATGCATCATACTCATGAACGTATTTATCTCCATGTTCTGTTTTACATTCCCTCCCCCACTGGTTCTGTATGTTATGGTTTGCATACCCCATTTTAAGATGTCCAATACGTAATGACTGTATGGAGAAGAAGAGCTTGTGAGGTTAGGGTTAATTTAGGTAGGTGTCTTGTCTTTTGAGTTGCAGATTGCAGTGTTTAACATTAATCCACTTTGTCTCCTCCAATCACAGGGCACATTCATCTTCTCTATTGTCAAATACTCCCCGCTGAAGTTCAGTCACAGTTATGTCTATCCGCTCTGGGCCAACATCTTGGGCTGGTTCATTGCCACTGTCTCCCTCTCCCTCATCCCACTGTTTGTGATATATAAAATGATGCAGGAAGAAGGCACTCTTCGACAGGTGAGCGTGATCCTCTTGTTTTGCTGTGAATTGATTGTTGTTTTCTTCCAAAATTTCTTCCATAGTAAAATAATCACTGCTGCTGATCATTAAAACGTTTAACCTCTGATATACAATAGATCAGTGGTTCAAATGGGAAATATTTTGAATTTCCCTATTCATTGACTAGAAATTAGCCCTATGAGAGAATGTATACGTATGATTATTCTGTCCATAGTATAGACAGTTATGGAAGAACCAAATCTTTTAGATGATATGGTCATTTTGTACTTGTTGGCAGTAAATATCTGTGCTGCTGTGAGGGATGCATTTATTGTGTAAACAGTATTTAAAAGATCATGTTTTGATTTATTAAAAGGTTGTTTACAGTCTGTGTTCCTCCATTCATAAAGAGCTCTGTGGTATGGATGAATCACACAGCAGAATTTTTTGTATTGGCCTCATTTAAATGTTGGCTGTCCTGATGGGACCCTGATTCTGGGAACTTGCAAGGGTTGTTGAAGTACAGCTATGTGTTTACAATAAGATTCCTGGCATTTTTCCAAGATTTCTTAGAATCTCTTCCATGCAAACAGTTTGGCAGAAAACACTAGTGGGATTATATTACCTATCACGTTTAAGCTTAAACGTTTAAGCTTAAACGTGATATTCCAGATATTTTTTTGTCAGATAATAAAAAAGACGAAAACCAGCAATGAATTCATTGTATTGTATTGGTCGGGTGTTAGAATATTCAATTCAGTTCTGTTTATGTACTTGCAAACAACAAAGCATATTGTCATTCCAAGGAAGGGCCACAAGAGTCACATCCCAAATAAATTATAATGCAAAATATAATTGCAAAATTGTTTTACAAGGCAGAATAATTTTACTGTATGCTATCATTGTACTGTACATAGTAATACAAAATGAGTCCTGGTATCCACCTAGTAATAAAGAATGCAATATGTTTTATCCTCAGCAACTCAGTTGATTTCACTTCACTCCTGTATCTTTTTTTTCCCCTCAGCGATTCTTGCTGCTCTGCCAGCCTGTGGACGACCTCTCCATGCCACACAAATGTCTTTCTACACTGCGAACCAATGGCACCACTGCCCACACAGAGCTCAAACCTTTATCCCACACCGGGGAACTCACTCAGTAAACAAACAAGTTGTTCAGCTGTACTATAATTTAGTGTAAATAAGGGCCATTTAGTACATTGAGGGGCAAAAAGGCAGAGTAACATCCTATCAAGTGTGTCTTTGGAGAAATATAAAGATAAAATGACCATATTCTGAATTACTCATATTGTTTAAAAAAACACATTAGTTCACTGACAGGATTACTTAAACATCTCTGGTTAGGTTATATGTTTGTGTTTGGTCGAAGGAAATTTGATAAATAGCTTTAATTATTAAGAGATTGGGAGTAAAGGTAAGGAATTTTAATATACACTACTCACAAAAGTTAGGGATATTCGGCTTCCGGATGAAATTTCAGAATGTACATAAAATGCACTATAACCTTTCCAGGTGATCTTAATTTGACCGTCTACTTAAATGCTCTACTTTCATGATATAATATCACTGTAGCATCAACTTTTTACATTTTCATTAAATTTCACCCGAAAGTGGAATATCCCTAACTTTTTGTGAGTAGTGTATTTCAGTTAAAATTCTAAATTTTACTTTAAGTCATTTGATAAATGCAGCATCACAGTTGGTGGTTTAACTTCAGTGAAATTGTCTCATTTAGTAAAGACTGATTTTATTTGTTTCTCCAGAATATGGACTTACGCACATCTTGTTGTTGATCACTATATCTAACATGTGGCATTCAAATGTGTATTTTTTATAAACTTGTCCTCTTGTTTTTGTAACTTGAGCAGAATATGAATGAAAATAGCGTCATGTTCTTTTGTACTGCGCGTGATACATTACCCTATTTAGTATCTTTGAACAGCAACGATTCACATAGTGATGTCTGTGTAGTACTGACGTATTTGTATCTAAATATCACATATAGAATGTATGCACCCTGTATAGTGTTAGGTATGTGTTTATATAATGTACCTCTTAAAATTCTGGTAAGTGCCAACAAATATATTTTGGTCTTTTCACCTTAATATAAAGTACCCTAGGGTCAAATACTTTTTCTTATGTTTATATACACTCACACTGATGCACAGCAGTCTGGTGATTTTTGATTATTACTCTGGGAGTTGGAGTGCTGATTGCAGAGGTATCAGTACACCTACAACATAGGATAGTCATTTGTACACTAACAGACTGTTGGTCAAGAATAAATATATTTCTATCACCATTTACACAAAAACCTGGTACTTTGTTATGTGTTTTTCAACTATAATTATATTATGGATCTTGGTCTACACCCTGCATGCAAACTATGGGCAACCAAGCACTATATACTACATCCATAATAACCCATCACAATATTAAGTTACATGCATGCTAATCTGTTTTACACAGCGCACACACTATATTCATCTCACTTCCCCTAAAAGCAAAATGTGAATCAGAACTGAAGAACCGCCTTCTAACAACAAAGGTAATATCTTCAATTAAATCCCAGGAATGTGTCAGGCTCCTGTTGAGTTCTAGGGCCCCTGAATTTTTCAGGGTCAGACCCCCCATGTTCCTCTAACATTACAAACATTTCACTTCTGACATCTGACATACCCTCTCAAGCAATTTCACACTAGTTCAATCCTTCATTCATGTAACTAATTAGAGTTACATGTCCTGCAATATGGTATGGATTGATATTCTTCTAAAATTACAAATGTTTGACCTCTGACATCTGACATCCCTTCTCAGGCAGTTTCACAACAATTCATTCTCACAGTATAGTTAGAATTAAATACATAAAGTTAAGTTCTTGATAAATATATGAACTGAAGATTCACAAGTGACCTCAACAAAACAAAGAATTAGGGATGGTACAGCCACAGCCTAATAAGGGGTTTAAGGCCAACTTGATAGGCCCGAAGGTAATCAGAGCCACTGAATTCTGTTGAGTCTTTTAATAGGAATTTTGAGCTGGTTGCTTGAGGTGAATGTGCTCCAAAACACATATACAGTTAGGTGGTTGATGTGTCATCCAGATTAAAGTAAGCCTGCTACGTGACACAAATGAGGCATGGCTGAGCTCAAAATTAGGCAATTAAACACATTAAACTTCAGAAGAAAGGCTGCTGTTTTGGCTCAAGGGCAACATGTCAAAACACTGAAAAGTGTTTTACGTGTGAACTGATATTTATTCTCAGAAGTGGCGACACTGCTATGAATGGAGATAAACGATTCTTTACAACAGATATGAATGACAGGAGAATCAACGGCAATCAAAAAGCCACGGACACAAAATACATGACTGTGTGCATTCAACTTAATTGAAGTAGCTGATAGTCCAGATCAGATTTCTTTTTTATCTTTGTAACGTCATTCAATCATTCTTACCTCAATGTGTCAAGATTTTCTCAATTAAAGATGTTGTATTCTTTTGGTTACAAGTCAGTGTACACCTCAGGGTATATAGGCAGCCAGAAGGAATGTGTGGAACTGAAAGCCAGCCAAGTCTCATCAAAGGTGTAAAAGAGGCAAGGTTACATCAAAATTCATCAAATCTGCATGATAAGAAATACACTGATCTATGACTGTTATTGATCATTGCTAGGTATGCTTTGCACATTCTGTTAAAGGTCCAGTGTGTAACATTTAGAAGGATCTATTGGCAGGAATAGAATATAATATTCATTGGTATGTTTTCATTATTGTATATTCACGTAAATTTAGGAATTGTGTTTTTGTTGCCTTAGAATGAACGTTTTTTATCTACAGATGCTGCAGGTCGCCTTCAACCTAAAATTATTTTGTTAGGTTAATTCATATCAGTTGTTTTCACAATGGAAACCACTTTTCTCAGACTTCTTCCTTGAGTATCCCACTATTTCTTTATCAGGTTTTTGTTTCTTGCCGTGTCTCTGCTTTATGTTATCATTTACTGTCTGTTAGGAGTCTGTGTCTCCAAATGTAGTTCAGTCTCTTTCAGTGGAGCTATGCAACACATAGATGTTGAAGCAGCAGGGAATAGGATTTCATTACCATTAATTGTTTTATTTCTAGCAACAAAGGTTGAGATCAGAGGAAAGGGAAACATCCTCGGTTTAACGGTCCCTCTATGTGGTACAATATAGCTTAATGTGTTCAACGACTCAAGTAATGTAACTGAATAGTTAAGTAATGAACAAATGGTTGAAATAATTAGCCAAAAGTAAATAAATTGAATATATAGCTACAGTGACAGTAATCAATAAAACACCCTTGGCTCTTTCGGACTTTCACGTACAAGAGTATGTGACGGTTGCGTTGAGACCATTCATGGATGACTTGAATAAAACCTTACAGAAAGACAAGATCATACTTTGTATGCTTTATTAAACAAATTGCCACCACAATGTTAAATTGTGATAATCTCCCATGCTAGTTGTTGAAGTGCCAAATTAAATTACTCAGAAAGCATCAAATCCAGTGTTCAAATGATCAAAACAACACTCCCCTGGTAATTATCACTGAAAATGTATATATGTTATGAGTTCTTTGCACAAAATTTCCAAAAACCAAAATCAGAGGAAGTATACATTAATTAAAGTTGAAAGAATGTATGTAGGCTATACATCTGAAAATACTGTTCATATATACATCTACCTGCACACCACCTTTGGTGTGAAAAATAAGTGATGCTCCAGAACTAAAGTCAGGTCTAATCTTTTATCCTTCAGCATTTGTCTTGCATTTGACTTGAATAAGTCTACTATTCAAGATCTGTTTAACATGAAAGAATCAGTATGTGTGATAATTTAATCGGTGGGCTCAGAACACATCACATCTACCAGGTACATTTTAAAATCTGCTATACAATTACAAAAAAAATTTAATTTATCCAATAGAAATTTAGTGAAAGTATGTGTCAGTCCTTGTAATTGACACATATTGTCTTAACACACTGGTTTTCCTGACCATAAAAGACTGCTTGCATTGTGTGACATAGGATTAAGCTGAAAACTGAAGTGGGGCTTTAGGGCTGTAGTTTTATTTCCAAATTCGTGCCATGGTCTGTCAGGATTCAGCTCCAGAGGACAATAGCAGGTGTGAAACGATATAGTGGGGAAAAGGGTGTGCGTGAGAACTGTAAAACCATAATCATTCAATCTTCTTCGGTTTCAATTGGACATTAAACAAATGTGACAGGTTTATGCTTTGAGTTTTAAGATTCCTTCTACAGAAAAGAGCATTTGAATGTTCATATGCTTTGATTATATTCCTTTGCTGTGAAAGAGGATAACAGATGGGGGGGATAACAGGCTAAGAATATAAAACCAAGACAAATCACTTACTTTTTATGTACTGTAACACACCAGTCTGTCTTTAGCCCATCAGAACTGCCCAGGAATGCCTTACATCAGTAAGTTATAAACACTGTAAGAAAGCCACAGTGAACAGTCTGGATGATGTTTGTGTGTTTATGTGAAGGCAATTAACAGATAAAGACATTGATTATTTTGCTTCAGCTGCAAAAAGGATAGATGAAGGATAGATACAATATCCCATCCTAACATATTACTCTGAGAAACATATCAATACATTGTCTTCATACTGTGCTATATGTTCAAGAAAAATAATCTCATAAGCGGCTTCAAGATATTTTTTCTGAAATTAAGCTGACATGATCCACGGTAATACCCAAGTCACACAGTGTAATTAGGTTGTGATTGATGAAAGGGGTGGGGTTTCAAATGCTTGTTTTTTTCCCACTACTGCACTCAAAACCCTTTTAGATTTGTTAAAAAAAAAAAAAAAAAAATCCCCAGTAAATCCATATTTTTACAGTGTATCTCTCAGTCAATCAACTCCAAAAGAATGTTACAAAAAAATACTCAGATTGTTTGGATTCTGGAGATGAAATGGTGTAAAAGCTTTGAAATAGGTCCAAAATTGAGGCCAGGGTGACAATAAATGTCTCAGTGTAGCTTGCCTTCTCCTGTTGTCACATTGCACCACAAAGTCTCCGATTGAAATCCTGTTTGGGCCTTTTGTTTTGTGTAATCCTCTGGTGTCTGTGTATTCTGTTCACACACATATTGAGTTCACACTAGGGCTTTACAACTTCACAATGCATGAGCCACATTCTTTTCCATGTCATGTCAAGTATTGTTTGCAGCAACTGTTTTATTCAAAATCAAAGGAAAGTTATATCATCCCTTTCTTCCATCTTGTTTTTCTTTGTATCTCTATGGTAGGTCAGATATTAGTCCAATTATAAAACTCCTGTGTAGTTCTAGTTGTTTCAAAGTCTACTTTAACAAATCTGGATGGGTCATTCCCCAGTGGTCACCCCAGCTGGTGCATATTGGATGCCTAAAAAGGAACATACACTGAACAAAATTATAAAACGCAACACTTGTTTTTGCCCCCATTCATCATGAGCTGAACTCAAAGACCTAAGACTTTCTCCATGTACCTAAAAGACCTATTTCTCTCAAATAATATAGAAATCTGTCAATGTTAGTGAGCACTTCTCACTAACATAGATAATCCATCCACCTCACAGGTGTGGCATATCAAGATACTGATCAGACAGCATGGGTATTGCACAGGTGTGCCTTAGGCTGGCCACAATAAAAGGCCACTTGAAAATGTGCAGTTTCACTGTATGGAAACGTCGTATACGCCGATCCAGAGCATCCCAAACATGCTTAATGGGTGACATGCCCGGTGAGTATGCTGGCCATGCAAGAACTGGGATATTTTCAGCTTCCAGGAATTGTGTACAGATCCTGGCAACATGGGGCCGTGCATTTAAATGCTGCAACATGAGGTGATGGTCGTGGATGAATGGGCCTCAGGATCTCGTCACGGTATCTCTGTGCATTCAAAATGCCAGCAGTAAAATAATGCACCTGTGTTCGTTGTCCATAACACACGCCTGCACATACCATAACCCCACCGCAACCATGGGCCACTCGATCCACAACGTTGACATCAGCAAACCGCTCACCCACAGGACGCCAAACACGCTGTCTGCCATCTGCCATCTGCCCTGTACATTGAAAACCGGGATTCATCCGTGAAGAGAACACCTCTCCAAAGTGCCGGACGCCATCGAATGTGAGCATTTGCCCACTCCAGTCGGTTACGACGACGAACTGCACTCAGGTCGAGCCCACGATGTGGACGACGAGCATGCAGATGAGCTTCCCTGAGACGGTTTCTGACAGTTTGTGCAGAAATTCTTTGGTTATGCAAACCGATTGTTGCAGCAGCTGTCCGGGTGGCTGGTCTCAGACGATCTTGGAGGTCAAGATGCTGGATGTGGAGGTCCTGGGCTGGTGTGGTTACACGTGGTCTGTAGTTGTGAGGCCGGTTGGATGTACTGCCAAATTCTCTGAAACGCCTTTGGAGACGGCTTATGGTAGATAAATGAACATTCAGTTCACGGGCAACAGCTCTGGTGGACATTCCTGCAGTCAGCATGCCAATTGCACGCTCCCTCAAAACTTGTGACATCTGTGGCATTGTGCTGTGTGATGAAACTGCACATTTTTGAGTGGCCTTTTATTGTGGCCAGCCTAAGGCACACCTGTGTAATACCCATGCTGTCTGATCAGTATCTTGATATGCCACACCTGTCAGGTGGATCCAATCCAACTTTATTTGTTAAGCACTTTAAAATTGGATTATCTCGGCAAAGGAGAAGTGCTCACTAACACAGATTTTGACAGATTTGTGAACAATTTGAGAGAAATAGGCCTTTTGTGTACATGGAGAAAGTCTTAGATCTTTGAGTTCAGCTCATGATGAATGGGGGCAAAAACAAGTGTTGTGTTTATAAATTTGTTCAGTGTATAAGGACTTCCAGCATATCACACAGGAGATGAAATCCATACGGTCAATTATACTCCACTCGATTTTCTCTTATACTGGCTTTTTAAACTGTACACTCTTTGCAAATCAATCTTCATGTGACTCTGAAAACTCACTGGTATGGATAGTCAGATTCAAAGGAAATAGCTGGAAGCAGAAAATAAATAGATCCAGTTGAGTTTGTCTGGTATATCATCCTGGGTAATAAGGAAATGTTGATTGCAGAGTGAGAAACCATGTAAAACAATTAATGAAGACACAAAACATTTTAATAAAAGACACTGTTTATTGACTTGCTTGTTTGCCATCTTGTAGAAAGAGCACACAATGTAACAACAGCTTAATAATTTAAACATTATATAAATACATCATGGACATGATTTGGAGGAAATGTATTTCTTTTAAGTTTGAAGGGGTATAAAACACAACGCAAATGATAAAGAATGGAGTGACAGGGATATAGTGACAATTAAATCACAATAAAGCGGTTTGCAATGAAGATACAGTAATGCAAATGTTGTGTCTAAAGTCAACTTGTGGTGTTTTTTGCATTACTTTAACCTCTAAAGCTAATACCAGCCCATAACTTTACTTTGCATTTAAGGTGTTTTTTGTAAATTGACATTTCTGATATTTGGCTGCCAAATATTTAACATCTTTTCAGTCCTTTCCAAAAATAATGTACATTGTAGCATTACATAGCAGTTAACTCTTGTGTAATTTGTAATATTTGAATGGGGTGCAAAGTCTACAGTTGGGTCCACAAGTCTGAATCCGTCACCAAAAGTCATTTTTCATTATTTATCAAAAAATAACACAACTTTCATTCACTTAGTTCCTGCTTCTTAGTAAGAAACTTGTTAAATGTACTGAAATCAAATTGTTTCTTTCCAAATATGTATATTAAAGTGACAAGGAAATCTGAATAACCTGCACTAACACCACTTGGTAAAGTTTTTGTTACACTTCCTGTATGTTTTGGTGTTTTTAACACAAGATATTATCAATATTAATACACAAGACTCTGTGTGACCACTAATGGTAATGCTTTTACTTTGAAAATCTAATAGTTGCTTCTAACATGTAGAACATTTTTTTAATGGAGCAGTGTGGAGGGCAAACTGGAGTGTTAGTAATTGAATCTTAACCTATTATAAAATGGGTTGTACATTGCCAAACCAAGACAAAGAATTTTTTTTTAAATGTTCATGTATTGTAAATCATGCATTGTAAGTACAATTAAGTAAAATTGTCCTTATAACATGTGATTTGTCAATTTAAATTAACTTATTTAATTAAGTAGGGTGGTGTGAGGATGCATGACATAGAATTTATGTAACTTCTGGTAAAAAAAAGATGATCTGACTAGATCGTACACACCGGTGTCATAATTTCCTCATAAAAAACACTTCTGAGTCACGTAGTTCGACAAGTTCAGGGAGAAAACACTTATGTAAGTGTTGCAGAGTGTGTCTGTGAGTTGCATCATTGCCAGAATTAAGGCACAAGGGTGTGTGTGTGTGTGTGTGTGTATGCGTGTTTGTGTGTTTGAGTATTTCTGCAAGTTCCTTAGGTGTGGGTCAAAATTCAATCCACTTCTGTGAGGCCACAGGGTCTCCTGAACTCTTGTCCACGCTCGTGAATCCACTTGTTTGACACTGAAAAAACAGAACAAAACAAACATTGCCATGGCAGGTAAAATATGAAATGAGAATGGCTTTAATACTAAACATTTTGTAGTATAGTTACAAATACAAACCTTGTATTTTTTAGAACAATATCTTGGTTGTTGTACAATAGTATGTGCAAGTCAACATACAACAACTTAATGAATGAGCTGCCACAAGATGAATCATAATCATGTCCAGTGTTGCACATTGACAGGGTACCATGTGCATACTGACTTCTACACGCAAAACATTGAGTAATATCACAGTCTGTGGTAGGGCTTGACAGGAACTAAATATTATGTATACTGACTTTCTATAGAATCATATTGTGATCACATCATATCATTTTACAAAATGTTTTAATCTAAATTAATGAGCAAATTGTCTTAAAAAAACTAACCAAATTGGTCACTGAGGTTTTTGAGTTAATGGATAGTGATGGGAACACATTATTATGACTTTGATTTCACATATGTTGACCAGCCCTAATTTGTTATGTGCTGAATTATCGTCTTAACAAAACAACAAATAAAACAATTTTAAATTTTGTCAGAATTTTATACTTTTCTTATCCCATTCAATACCTAATTGTGATGAATCAGAATGTTGACTCACCCCATTTACTTCCCACTAAGACAGGACAGGCTGCATGCCTTGTCCTATAGTCTCCTTCTCCACTCTTGAACAGATTATACCAGAACACTGCCGTCCCCTGTGGAGAAATGACACAAACTCAAAATTTATGGTAACATTAAATGGGCACGGGAGAAGGAATGTAGAGACATATGCTAGAAGAAGTGGCTTCAAGGTTATTGTTTGCCATATTGGCAAAAAAGCATAAGGAGATTGTTTTGTGGCAAAAGTGGAACAGAGTCTCAGAATCTTTAAAGCGGAGCCCACAGGAGGAATCTGAGGATCTCCTGCATGCCTATGAACTGTGAGGGAAATATGACTGCATTTGTGAGGAGACTGATCATCGAGAAATTGAAAATAAGAGGTGAACTGAACATTGAGCGCACGCATCAGGCATTTGGGAACGTCAAATGCTATAGTATAAGAGCATAGTATGAATGATTTTGAATATGAAGTCGAACTGGAATGCAGTTTATTCAATGTGCACATGTAAAGCTGCAAGAGATGGAAGCGGTAGAAATTGATATGGAAAAAAACATTAAATATTATTGACACTTAACAGTAAGCTATTACCTGACTGGACGATCTGTGGGCCTAGCTTTGTTGATTAGCTATTCAAATCAACTTATAATACTGTTGTGGAAAAACATGTAAAGAAATTACATAAAGTTAAAAAAAAAATAAGTAAACTAATCAATATTCGATTTTATATCATATATATGTTAAGTTTGGGAGTTCCTCTGAAGTAGTTAAAAGATCAGGATCAGTCAGAGCACAAGCATACGTCAGCTGTTAGAATTGGAGGCAGAGCTAACAGTGTGGATAGAAGACATCAGCCATTTAAAAACTAGAGGTGGGGCTGAAGGTATGGAAAACATCAGCAGATAGCAGCCAGGGACAGAGAGCTGAAGGTATGTGGATGTCTTAGGGTGGAGTTCAACAAAAGTCTAAGGACACCTAGCAATGCCAGTTTTTCACATAAGCAGCACACGTCTTATAGACACTATAGTAAGTTAGGATGGAGTTCACAGAGAGTTCAACCACGTGAAAAAATAGAAACCATTAGTCTTAAATTTGGGCATATACAAATGTCACCACTTGTCAATTTTTATAGTCTGATTCATCAAAAGTTTCCATGTCAGAAAACAGTGACTGGTGATTTGTCAAAGGAGGAGCTCCTATACAATATAAAATAGTGTTTGAGTGCAGAAAAGTTAGTCTGCTCCCAGGACCACACACACATTGTTTTGTCGGTGTGTTGACTCCAATTAAACTCTTATGCATCAGAAGCTGTAAATCTTTCGTCAGTTTTCATTGGAAGATAATGTCCCACTAGGAGACCTGAATCCGAGGTCAGGACTTACAGTAATACTTACTGAGTCATTCAATAAACTAGACACCGCTGCTGTTAGGATTAGACCTGTTTCCCACTGGGGAAACTTGTAGTATAAAGTAAACACACTCAACACTACAACTATGACACGGGGCTTCTCGTGTTATTTCTTCACAGACATTAACTCACAAGTGCACACAGAAACACATTCTCCCTTCACCTTTCTAGGCCAGATTGCTGCTCCGAAGTCAGGGAAGACCGTGGCGCCTCCTGCCTCGACATCACTCATCTGAGAAAAGAAAACAAAGTGGTTGGAGACTTCTTCTGTATCTTCCTGAAAGAATACACTCCGGTATTCAACAATCCTCAAAGGGCAAAATAAATCTGTTTGTGGCTGAGGAAAAATATGTTATACTTTCCAAAGAAAATGATTAAATGTTAACACCCACAGCACACACCGCTAGCAACATACTTTATGGCACAAGTGTAATAATAATGATGAATATAATATCCTTTTCAGAATATGTGTATACATATACAAAAAAAAAACTAAAAACAAATGAATCCAGTGAATGCTGATTAACTGACAATCTTTTTTAATTTTTTATATGTCATTTCAATAGCAACGATATAATATTGTTGTGAAGGTCTTGCAAGAAATAAGGTGCATAAATTGACAAGGTACACATCTTTACACAACAGTAGACCGTTTAAGAAAGTTGCTATGTGCACTACAGTTAGGGAAGACAAGAAAGAGTAAAGAAATAGGGAATACTTTTGACCACAGCTGACACAGTTGTTCAATACACAATTTTCCAATATGCTTGATGATGAATACAAACAGTATATTTCTCTCAGGATCAAATATGTTCATTGACCTGAAGTGATGGTCTATTAGTGACACAGTCACTGTGAGGTATTTTCCTTGTACCACATAAATGTCATACCAAATATTCTCTGGACCATTCTTGAACAGTTATTTCATTGTTTTGATACACTGCATTGAATTTAATTGCTTTATCTTATTTCTGTAGCATTTGCTGCTGTCTGGCTGTAAATTGTCCTGTTATATTTGTTTTATTCTGTCAAAATTCTAAAATAAACGTATTATTATTTATTCAGAGAAGTTACATGTATGATCAAGATCAATAATGTACTAAAGCACATCAACATCATGTATCATGGTGACCAATGTACCTCAATCAATCAATGGTTATATGGGGGAAAAAAAATTAAAGTACCTATCTAATTCAAAAACAAAATATTTTTTTTCTCTTTTTGGGTGTCATTTTATTTTGTAAAACCCAATGTTAGCAAGGGTAAAATAAAGACTGGCTTCTACATCAGCGTGTTAATGAAAGATGGCCAACACAACTCACAACAATATGTACTGGAACTGATTGACAGAAAAACCTTATTCTTAGACATTTATCCAGCACCATTGTTGGGGTATTATCTTGAATTCTCCATTTTGAACAATAGTAATGCCACACTACAGGCCAATTAGTGAACAAAGTCAATCAATCCCAGTCCAAGATTGAAGCAGAGCTTATGCATATACCCATGAAGCTACTAAAAAGAAGGAATGAGAGTAGATTTCAGGTGACTACCCCGACTGGCGACTGGACACACGTACTTACGTAGTTCAAAAAAGTTGCCACACGATTTCCAGTGCCTAATCTTTTGAAAGCATCAGGCTCATCTTTCTACAAAGATAAAATTCAAGAGTGAAAATACATGATGAAGACACTGCCCACACACACACACGTACTTACATAGTTTAGGAACGTAGCAAGTCTATTTCCATCGACCTTGAGGTTGCTGTCAAAAGGGCGCTGCAACAGATGTTTAGAACGTTTAACCCATCACCAAAAAGACTCATACTAGGAGCCCGCCACAGAAGGCACTAACTACACTCACATCAAATAAAATCTACAGCTGAATTACATTTGTCATTTAAATAGAAAATAATAGCTTCAAATTATATGGAGGAAAGGACATACGAATATAAAGATAACATGGAGCACTTATTGTACTAAGATGCAATAATCATAAAGCCAGTTATCTGCAGAAGAACAGAATGACAATAATCTTACATTCTTAACCTTGTGTGTTATAACAACAAAAGATTTTCATGCAGTGCAGTGGATACAGCTACAGGTCTGATGAAATTGCTAGAAGCTTGCCAGATATAACACACAGGGGGAACACAGCTCATAGCTATAGCTAAAGGTCAGGGGCATTTAATGATACTTTGGGAAGAGGAGTGTGTATGATGAGTGGTTAATTAATTCATTCATTCATTCATGTAACCAGGTTATTTGAAGGGAGGCTGTGAGGGAGGAGTTAAAGACAATATTTAAATCAAGGAAGGAAGATCATTGTCATGGTTAAACTTCATCTGAAAACAACATAGCTAAAATTAGTTTTTTCCATCCTTAGCTGATTTATGCCCGTGTTTCATCCAGTTTATAAAGTCTTCAAATGGTTAACAATGTCGCAGCTTGAATTTGAACTAAAACTAGACATTTTGATCATATTACACAGATTTTAGATGCCCTTCATTGGCAAAGAAATCCATGTCAAATCACACTTTGAAGTGCTTCTGATGATTTACAAAATTGGCCATGCCCCTTTACACCTGTCTGATCTCCTTAAACCTTATACTCCATCCTGTGCTCTTCGCTGTCAGACTACCGGGCTCCTCAGTCATCAGCGTTAAAAAGGAAGTCAGCTAGCTGCAGGGTTGTTTCCTATCGCGTTACCTTTCTCTGGAATAAGCTCCCTCCATTAGACAGTCTGACTCTGTTGAGACCTTTAAAATCCAAACCTAAAACTCATTTTTTTGTCTCAGTTGGTTAATTACTCTTTGATTGAATAAGTCTCAATGGCTCAGGTTCTATCTATGCTTCCAGACCTTTGTGTACAATCTATCTATAATTCTGCCATCTATATAAATAAAACTGACTTGACTTGAAGCATGTTAAGTCATGCCACTTCACTTCTACACTTACTGCCACACACACTTACACCGACAAAGTGAACTCACCCTTGAGAAGTCATAATGTGGCTCGTACTGTCCTCCAACTCCATAGTTAGCAACCTGGTCAGCCATTGACAAAGGTGACTCATATTAAAATATGTTTAAAAATGCATTGTGTTATTTTTTTTTTATATAAATAGAATAATTATCAAATTTCTGTGTAACATATGACACGATGATGTAGTAATTAATGTAATTTTGTAGTGTGTATTACATTACCTGTAGTAACTCTGCAGTGGTTACTGTGAGGCCTGTGATGTCTTCTATCCTCTGATTGACTCTTTCAATAACAGGGTCATCCTCTCCTTCCAACCATGCACTGATTAAAAAAAAAAAACACAACATTTTAAACCTTCACCAAAGGTAAAATTTTGTTTTGGAATATATTGACTGTTTTAATCCTTTTAATATTTCAGCGATTCAACTCATTAAAAGTTTAAACAAACACAATTCATCCACCATTTCCAGTGAACAGGGTATCCTTGTAGCGGGGGCAAAGTGAAGAGATAACTGGGTAAAAAGCCAAAGCTCAAGAATCCCTCAAAATAATTAGGAAAAACCAGATGATAATGAGCTCTAACCATGTATTAAGGACTGAAATCTACAATGAGTTACCTTTTTGACACTCTGTAGTTGGCTGTGGTCAGGACGCCTGTTTTGGGGTCACGGACAGTAGCTCTGGCAAGCTTGAAAAAAAAAAACAACACACAGATACAAACAAGTAAATAAGTGTTTGTCATCATAAACATTACACATTACAATTTATCCAGGTATATCTATGTTGTAAAGCAAAATGTTTTTCATTTACTCTCACCAATTAATCTTAAACTATAAATATCATATACTGAATATGTATTCTATTTGAAGATTCAGAGACTTTTCTCTAAGAGCTTTTATACATTCAGAATATGAGAATGATTGGTCTGTACAATTTCTTTTGAATGTGTTTTTATTACACCGTGCCCCAGTGCCTGATAATGATAAACTCATGGGCAAGATTTTCTTCTTAGTATTGGGTCTAGCTGAATAACTACATATTTTGTTATCTGGAGGGTTATGATGTTCTAGTTCTCAGTCCTTGATGAGATTCTTAGCAGGCAATGTGATTACATCTAATTCTTAAACATTGTATAAGTTCACTTGTTAAAGGAATGCAGTACAAAACATACACATATATACATATTTAACGCCACTGACAAAACAACTACAGTAGAGCAGGCAGCATTTAAAGCAACATGCACAGGCTTGTCCTTGTTCAGAGTAAACATGCCTGTTTTTTCTGGCCTCTTTACAAGGTTAAAGCCACTCAGCCACATTGTATTGGCCCTCTTTCTTTATAATCAAAATTGTTTGTTATCACAACTTTTACTCTGTCTCTAATTTTGTTTTATGTCATATTTTTGGCTTCTTGCCTCACCCTGGGTTTAGCCAGCTCCTTAATCTTCTGAATCTCTCCATGTGACAGGATGTCCAGGTAGCGTACGATGTGTGGACTATCCCACTCATCCTCCTCTTTCATGGGCTTCAGCAGGAGACGAGGATTCATATAACCATTATGGTAGCGACAGAACAAACGGCTGCGCCTTGCTTCAGTCTGTGAAGATACACAGAATAAACAGAAAATAATAAAAAAACGTTTTGTCTTATATATATATATATATATATATATATATATATATATATATAAATGCCCTCATATGAATCCTATTTAGAGAGGCTTGAGTTGAACTGGACCTTCGCCACAAAAGCTCCTGCACGCTCATGCTGCACCCATAAAGGTTTTTACGCAAGAACAACATCTGTCAAGACAAGATGATTTACACCAGCATAATTTCTTATGTTCCTTTGGGTAACCTCACCTAATTCCTAGAATAACTCCTCCCAACTTAAACCTGAGTAGAGCTCCAATCATCTAGAATAACCGAAAAACACCTCTTCTTTTTTTATTAAACAGGCCACATACATAGCGTCTAAATATGTTTCTATGATTGTTTAACTAAAGCAAACATTACTAGCCTGTTTTGCGTCTGTAGTTATTGCAAGCTCTCCCTTTTATGCGTATGTGTGACTGTACTGCAGGTGTTTGTACATTGCTCTTTAATACAATATATAATATACGTTAATTGATTCATTGTTGAAGCTCTAACTGTGAAATGCCTCGGCTAATGCTGCTTTTTTATTAATACAGTATAATAAACTTTTTTGCTTTATTATTATTTTTTTTTTAAATGAGATGTGTATATAATCTAATCTAATATCAAAATGATCTGTCTGTCTGTAAAACTAATTTAGCCCAAAAGGGAAAACAAACCTTACAGCAAAACATCAAACTATCAGGTACAAGTACTCTGCCTGTCTCTCTGCTACACAACATTTGGCCCAATTTTCAACATGCTTTTATTTTTCTCTTCATGTCTCACCATTTGAAGCCCCTCTCCTCTGCAGAGGGCTTCATAGGCCTCCCTCTCTGGGAGATGGTCTTTAGGTCTGCTGTAGGTTCCCAGCTGGATTGGCTCCTCAGAGGCAGGCTCGTAGGTCTGGTTCATCTCATTGAGCTGCTTGAACAGTAAACGCTCAAAATAACGGAGGTTACCTCCTGCCCTCTGGTGGCTGGCGTCTGTCAGTACAAGAAAAGTTTAGTTATTAGTGTCTCAAATATTTGTAGTACTGTCGCATTTTAGTTTAGCAAGGCGGTGAGAGAAGCTAAACGTCAGTACTCTGAGAAACTTCAACATCAGTTCTCAGCCAATGACTCTGGTTCTGTCTGGAAGGGGCTCAGACAGATAACTAACTACAAGCCCAAAACCCCTCACTCCATCAATGATCTGCGCCTGGCAAACGAGCTGAATGAGTTCTACTGCTGCTTCGACAGACAAAAGGAGCAGTCCTGACACCATCCCCCGAGACACCCCTCACCAGCCCCACCTCACCAGTCCCTCCCCCCCCAGCCCAGCAGGAGCTGGGGCCACTTCACAGCTTCACACCTCTGTGAATCCCTCCTCCTCCACCACAGTGATGACCCTCTGCCTCCAAGAGAGGGACGTCAACAGACTCTTCAAGAGGCAGAACCCCCGCAGAGCAGCCGGACCAGATTCTGTCTCTCCATCCACCCTGAAGCACTGTGCTGACCAGCTGTCTCCGGTGTTCACTGACATCTTCAACACCTCTTTGGAGATATGTCATGTGCCAGCCTGCTTCAAAGCATCCACCATCATCCCTGTCCCCAAGAAAGCAAGGACCACAGGACTAAATGACTACAGACCTGTTGCCCTCACCTCTGTGGTCATGAAGTCTTTTGAGCGCCTTGTGCTCTCCCATCTGAAAGCCATAACGGACCCTCTCCTGGACCCCCTGCAGTTTGCCTACAGAGCCAACAGGTCTGTAGACGACGCAGTAAACATGGCCCTGCACTTCACCCTCCAGCATCTGGACTCCCCAGGAACCTACGCCAGGATCCTGTTTGTGGACTTCAGCTCTGCGTTCAACACCATCATCCCTGCTCTGCTACAGGACAAGCTCTCCCAGCTCACTGTGCCTGACTCCACCTGCAGGTGGATCACAGACTTCCTGTCTGACAGGAAACAGCACGTGAAGCTGGGGAAAAATGTCTCTGACTCCCAGACCATCAGCACCGGATCCCCTCAGGGCTGCGTTCTTTCTCCTCTGCTCTTCTCCCTGTATACTAACAGCTGCACCTCCAGTCACCAGTCCGTCAGGCTCCTGAAGTTCGCGGATGACACCTCCCTCACTGGGCTCATCTCTGGTGGAGATGAGTCCGCCTACAGATGGGAGATTGACCATCTGGTGACCTGGTGCAGCCAGAACAACCTGGAGCTAAACGCTCTAAAAACAGTGGAGATGGTTGTAGACTTTAGGAAGAACCCAGCCCCACCCGCCCCCATCATCCTGTGTGACTCCCCAGTTGACTCTGTGGAGTCCTTCCGCTTTCTGGGTACCATTATCACCCAGGACCTCAAGTGGGAGCTGAACATCAGCTCCCTCTCTAAGAAAGCCCAGCAGAGGATGTACTTCCTGCGGCAGCTGGGGAAGTTCAACCTGCCAAAGACGATGATGGTGCACTTCTACACTGCCATCATCGAGTCCATCCTCACCTCATCCATCACCATCTGGTACGCTGCTGCCACTGCCAAGGACAAGGGCAGACTGCAGCGTATCATTCGATCAGCTGAGAAGGTGATCGGCTGCAATCTGCCATCCCTCCAGGACCTGTACGCCTCTAGGACCAGGAAGCGTGCAGGTAAGATTGTGGCTGACCCCTCCCACCCCGGTCACAATCTCTTTGAGATACTTCCCTCTGGCAGGAGGCTGCGGTCCATCAGGACTAAAACGTCTCGCAATAAAAACAGTTTCTTCCCGTCGGCAGCTGGCCTCCTTAACAAGGCCCGGATTACCCACTGTCATTGACTCTTATACCCACCCTGTATATAAAGTATGCATTACATTAATGCACCCACGTTCTTCTGCTCAGCTTTCTCTTTCTCTTCTTATCTTTATCTATTTATTTTTTGAAAGTACTTTATTTTTCTGTGTGATTTCTGTGTGATTTCTGTGTGATTTAAATTTGAATAATTGTATATTTGTATATTTGTATTTGTATATGTATATATTTTTATGTACCAACTGCACCAGGTCACATTCCTCGTAGGCATAAAAACCTACTTGGCAATAAACAAATTCTGATTCTGATTTTAAAAAAGTGTCCCTTTGATGTCTGTAGACAATATATGTGCGAATAAGTTACTATTCCTTGTCAAAACAAATTAATAAAAAAAAGGAAAAATAATTGCACTGTGAACCTTTGTTTCCATTCCCTCTCTTATTCATATATTCAATTTAATTAAATATTGTATGGTTTAATTCAAGACAAAACAAACTATTAAAATGACATCTGCATTTACAGAGGGGGGGGGTAAGTTGAGCTTATTTGACACACAAGGATGTTTTGGTACTAATGTTTGTTTTGGATGTTGTGCATCCTTCAAACAAACAGATGAGTGTAAACATAACTGTTTCGATAATATAGCATGTCCAAAACAGTGGTTCGTGGCTCAACTTGTGGGGGTTAGCCGCATCCCCACCTCCACCCCATCCCTCCCTCACCTTCTCCCTCCCTAAATAACACTCAACTCTTCACATTCATGTGTATTTTATTTATTTGTAACAGGTACAATAACTTTTTTTATTTTTATTATTGCATATTACTGCTAAACAGCTGTTTTGTGAAAAAAACATTTTAACACGAGAAAGCTTTAAAGTGTGCTTAGGAAGAAAACATTAACAGCTGTGTTTTTGGAATATACACAGATTATGTTTTTGGATACACTTACTGAGTGTATTTTGGCTGTAGCCACCGGCTCAACTTACCCCTGGCCAAATGGCTCAACATACCCCAGAGCTACCATTTTGACTTTAGTCCCCACAGCTAAAATGGTGCACTTTTATGCTAGGTTTATGACATGTTGTAGCTTAAAGATACCACAATTGATGTATAAAACAAATTTAAAATGATCTATTGAGATCTATTGAAACTTATGATAGACTAAATTCACTTTCAAGAGTGAAAAATGATTTTTTGGAAATAAATATCTAACCACTTTACCCATGTTGTTCTTACATTCACAGACTCCATGAAATGATGCCTTCCTCCTAAATATTTGGTCACATGAGCAATGTTTTTTACCATTTCCTAGCAACAAGGGGTGGCTCAACTTACCCTTTGGCTCAACTTACCCCACTCTCCCCTAACAGTCAATGTGAACTTTCAACTCCGTTTCAATTAATTAAATATCAGTGATGGAAATTACAATTTTGAGGGTTGTTTTACTTGAGTATTTTTATTTAAACTACTTAATACTTCTACTCCACTAAAATTCAGAGAGAAATATTGTACTTTTTACTCCACTGCATTTTTTTAACAGCTAGTTCCAACAGTTCCTTGTGCTGCTTTTAAGTAAATGATATGGATACTTATCCAGCACAGTAAATCAAAAAAAAGTGTCTCCCTCCTGTCCTTTGGTTAGGGTTTGAGGTACTGAAGCAATAACATAGTGGAGAGTAGAGAGAGTACACCCCCTTGTGGACTTTTAAGGAAATACACTGAATCCTCTGAGCAGAGCAACATACTGTGCCTCCAGGTCATGTTTATGTAGGAGCAAAGAAGCCCTCTGCACCAAAATTACCGGAACAGTAAACAAAGTGTATCCTAAATATTTACTCATGGTTCTTATTAAAAGGAAAAAAATGTACAGTTTGCTGGAGGTAATTTAAACTCCTTACCAGGGAGACAGACCACTCATGGGGACACAACAACATACACACAAGTGCTTTTTCCAACAGTGCAGTAGTACACTGATTTAGTTACATAAATTCAGTCCTGGCAGATGCTCAATATGATGACAGTTTCCTACAACTGGTGAAAACTTTTTCCTCCTTTTCTTCGTTTTTCTTCCAAGTGATTGGAATACACTTTCATTGTAATGTCTAGCTAGCCTACCTGTTGGCTGTACTGTCCCAATTTGGTCGTGCCTATTATGTGAACAGTTCTCATTTTGAATCTCTGACTCCGTATGTTCTTCGTTGCTAATTGTGTTGCTCTCTAAAGCAAATGAAATGGACTGTATTTTTGGCAGCTCTCACCTGTTTACTTGTTTTATGTATGAAAATATGTGGATTTTCACTATGTCTGCTACATCTTCTCTACCTCAGTTCATTTCACTTCACATATAAACAAGCATACCACAGCTCTAAAATGATGGCCTGCAGCTGTCAACACAGTCCTTGATGCAGAGACTAAAATAACAGTTAGACCACGGGCCCTTACTTTGGATGGACTACACCCTTCTGCTCTGGCAAGCCGTGAGCATCACTGCAGTGTTAGAGGAGGATGTACTGTAGTGCATTAGTGAAACAGCAAAGGAGACAACCCATCAATTACCCTACAGTAGAGGACTGTGGCTGTATTGGTCAGCTAACTGGTCTCTGTATGTGTTATGGGAGGCAACTGAAAAATTCAACAGTGCTCCTTAAATACACGTCAAGAGTGCTATTTTAGATGTCTAAAAATTCAGACCATGAACCCATTCACCCATCATTTATGGTTGTAAGAGAAACAAATAATTAGGCTGACTCAGGCTGAGATGAATAGATTAGAGAGGATGTGTAATATGTGTTAGTGTGCACACTGATCTGAGCTTATATCTTTTGTCTTGCGTACGTTGCACCTTACCAATTGCCACCAGTCGGCGTGTCAGCTCAATGGCTCGAGGTAGGTCTCCCATTTGGTAAACGGAGTAGCTGAGGTAGTCCAAAATGTCCGCCTTGGTAACCACAGCTTCCTCCCCAGCATCCAGCTGCTTCAAGGCCTGCTGCATCCACAGCACAGCATGGTAATAGTCTGCATCATTATAAGCAGTCTTTCCCATGTCGAAGCAGTCGTCCACTGTCAGTAAGGCACTGGAGTGCAGACCTGGGGGCAGCATTTATTAAATTTAAATACTGACCATATTGGACTAACTTTACTTCATGTTCTTTTGATTACATATTTATCACATTTTATTAATCATTGAAACTGAAAAAACAACTCATCCATTTTACTTAAAACTCCTATTTTTTCACTTAGTTATTATTCCTACTGACTTTGGATTACTAATTACACCTGTTGCCACAGGTGCAATGACTGCATAACACTACTATCTATCTAGCTACAGTAGCTTGTCTGTTGGATCGGACTACGCGGGCCAGCCTTCGCTCCTCACGTGCATCAGTGAGCCTTGGCCGCACATCAGCTGTAAAAACATTTCCCACAATTCCCTGTATGGGATCACTAATGTTTGACTTACCTGTGTTTAAGTGTTTTCTCACTTATGGAACAAAGTCTAATTATAGTACTTTGGTGCCACTATTGCCCACCTGCTTCAGATTTTTAAGTTTCTGCAGAATTAAACATAATTCAAAATGTGAAAATATAATACTATTTCCACCATTTTAGACATTTTATTTGTTACTTTTGGGAAATGTATCCATTATATATTGGTTTGAAGTTGTTTGTTGGTGGGCAGGTTTAGACATGTCGAGTCTAGCTCAGCATGAACTGGCACAGATACACACGTACAGAAACAGACTTGTGCTATCAAACACAGACACATACCTGCAGAAGTACATCTTTTTATACCTGCGCTAGGATTGCAGTTCAAACCTAGCAGCTACGCTTCAAGTGACCATTTATGATTTTAAAGGCAATGTGTGTGCAATTTGATGATGTATGCTGCTAGAGGTGTAGGCCCTTAGGTCTGTTAAGTCCTTGGAGCCTTACTGTGATGAAGGGCTGTATCAAAAAATAAAGCTGAATTTGAGGTTGAGGAATGTGTCTGTATATGACGCAACTGTAATTGAGTCATTCGTTTTCTAACCACATACAATCATAAACCCAATCATGGCCAGAACCAAAGTCTCTTAAAACAACCTTACACTTTACTTAAAAATTCACCTTAAACTAACGTTAACTTAGTTTTAAAAAAATCAACTCTTAAGAAGTGAAGACTGGTCAACATGCACAAGCACTGCTTACTCCTTGGTTACCTGACAGCTTTCCTTTGGAGAAAGCCTCAGAATCCAGTTGGTACGTGTCTTGAAGACGCATTAACGCCTTGGCTGCACCCGTTTCATCCTCTTCATCTGGGAAGTACTGTCTGTGTGTGGACATGTTGGAAATGAACCCTGGAGAGGAAGTAAGAACTTTGTCAGGATGTTTTTGGGAATGAATAGAAAACTACTTGTGATTCAGTTAATGACTGTTCAAATTAATGCAAGGATGACACCAGGCATGTTAATAACTTTGCAACATAAAGCTAAAACAGTTTACAGTAATGCTATAGTAAACCCTTGGAGCTAAATGCAAAATCACTCACATCATAACTTATAGATTTATTCAGTCTTGCTACTTTGTGTCACCCTCTGATACAAAACAACAGTGCTTCAATGGACAGCCAGTTAAATCTCATGTTAAGCTGCTGAGACCATGTTTAAAAATAGTGCATGAACACAAGGGGGTCCTGGAAGTTGTGATTGTACTTCATAAAAACATAGTGGACATGCACACCAGCCTTAAATTTTAGTGCTGTCAGTTAAACATGTTATTAACGGCGTAAACACAAACCCATTTCAAAAGGCGTCAATTTTTATCGCAAGATTAACTTTTGTTTAACTTTGTAGTTTTTTTCACATGCTGTTGCAACAACTAGTAACGTTAGAAAAACTACAACACCACACCGGATCTAGCTAGACCGGAAACAAAACAACAGGCATGTCGCACACACTTGTTTAAGAGTAGCAGACGTTACGTTTTGAGTGGATGGCGAGCACGAGACGCCGAAATGGATGCCAATAATATTCTGAATGGAAAGTTTACTTTTAAAAAGTTGCCAAATGGTTCCATTGACAAGACCAAAGTGATCTGTGTGTTTTGTCGTTGTGAATTGAGCTATCATCAAAGCACTTCCAGTCTGAAATACCACTTGATGGCCAAGCACACAGCTGATGCGAATTCTCCGCCCCCTCGTCAAAGCCAGGTGACAATGGATGATTTTTCAATAAAAACAACATTTGCACAAAGCAAACCGATCCACTTTTCCATGTTGATAAGAGCATTAAAGTGAGAAAAAAATAATGGGACAAAAAGAAATCAAGGGACATTTATAATAGATAAAAATGTGCGATTAATTGCGATTAATTGCAAGTTAACTATGACATTAATGTGATTAATCGCAATTAAATATTTTAATCGTTTGACAGCACTATTACATTTCTTTGACTGATTTTATTTACGCATTATGCCCTTTACTTTCTGCAATACATTTTTTTTTATTTGGATTAGTTTTTAATTCATCAAATTTAAATACAATTACAATAAAACTATAAACCACCCCCTTGCTTTTAATGGAAGCTTGCCTTTGTAGTTCTCCTTTTTCTTCTCCTCTCTGCCTCTCTCACCCTGTCTCCATATTATGTAATGAAAACAAAGGCAACAATGGCTATTGCCAATATCTGATGTTTTCAAGCGTAGGACCCTTCACCAGTACAAACTGTCCTCCCACAGCAGTTCCAGACTTTCTCTAAATAAGTAGAGCCTCTATTCTGAGTGACCAGTATTATCCTCCTCACACTGCCTATGCCTCAAGCCTCAAATTAAGGTCAGTGAGTGCCTTGTGTGTGGCTAATGAAGAACAGTAACTTGTACTATGTATTGGAGAGTGTTATCAATTGTCATTCTTTATATTTCTCTTATTTTATCATTAAATAACAGCACCATACTGCTCAGTAAAGTCTGAGAAATTATAAAAGAAACCAGATGGGCAGACATTTTCATTTCAGATTTTCTATTACTTGTATGCACTCTGTGGTATTCAACGGGGGCACCTTTAATCCAGATAAAATAATCTATTCTTTATATGATGTATGATAATCAAAGGCCCAAACTCCATCTTTTTTTCAGTGTCTAACTTCAGTGTTTAACTTGCTTTATTCACTTGACATGTGAATTAGTGTCACCAAAGCAGAAAACTGTAAAGTAAAATACCAAAAATTTGAACAAAATCTAAATAATGTATGTCTTCTATCTAGTTAGGCTTATTCTCTCTCTCTCTCTCTCTCTCTCTCTCTTGCTCACGTATACAGATTCACTTGTGTGACACATAATTAATTCTCTGTATCTGCCTCACACAGATATGGACCTAAGCGTAAACATGCACAGACTTTCAGGTCCAAACACACACACACACACACACACACACACACACACACACACACACACACACACACACACACACACACACACACACACACACACACACACACACACACACACACACACACACACACACACACACACACACACGCAACGGAAGAACATTGCCAAAATATGCAGAGATGAGGAACAGCTGTAGCTAAAACATGACCGCTTTTGCTCTCTCTATATATATTCATTTGGGGAGTATTTGAGCAGAAATTTCCACTCTAATCACTCTGCTCACATCCACTCTGGATTTTATATTTGCCACTGGACAGAGAGAACCCCACAGGAAAAAGTAGTGAATGCTGCCTTTCAGATGCATTATGTGAAGAGATATTTAGGCCTTATCAATGCATACAATGTCGATGGAAAGGCAAGAATGAAGGCAAACAGATCCTATTGTGAGGCTTGTTAGCCTTGTTGTTAAATTGACAAAGATGTAGCTGATGTGTTTGAAACTATTTCATCTTGCGCAAAATTTCCAGTCATATCACTACTAATGCAGAGAGAAAGATGAAAAAGGAACAAGTCTAGATGAAAATAATGCAAGTTTCTTGGTAAGTTTTGTTCTGAGCTGTTGCACACAGGCAAGTACAATGTGCTTGTTATCGCAGCAAATGTCAGTATACTCTTAGTCAGGTAACAGACCCATAGCTGCATGTGGCCAAGAAACACAGACTCACAGATACTCCTTGAGTCCGTATTACACAAATAAAGCATATGTATGACAACAAATCTCATAGAGAACATCAATGCTCCAAACGAAGCAAAATCACACCACTCTTGGGCAACACTCATCCTCCTTCCTTCCCTCCTTCTTTTTCTCCTATCCTTACCATCAGAGGGGTTCTGAAGGACAAGACTCTCCAGTTCAGTCCACTCTGTGTTGAGTCTCTTCATCAGTTTGTAGGCATTTACTGGGTGGGCCAGGTATCCTTCTGGGTCAGAGGTGGACAATCTGGTCAGAGCGTCAAGTTTGTTGGCCCAGCTGAAGACAGACAAAGTGGAAATGTCTGGTGAGGATGTGTTGACAGAAAAGTGACTATGGTTGTGTTACACTACGTAGAACGTACTGTACAAATGAAATAAAAACATTACATCCCTGAACATGGAGGGGTAATACAAGGGAGAAACACTGAGCAGGGCAACAACAGTTGTAACCACTAAATGGTTAAAGGACTGTTAATATTAACAGATATCCTTGTTGAAGCAACAGATATATTTAATTTGTTAGTTCTGTTTACTGTTGATGGAACAGATATTGCTAATATTTATAATATGTATCAGAGTGTTTTAATGCCTTAATCCACAAGGAGGGATATTTTTTGGACTACTACAATGGTAGATCTGTCACTGCATAACACAAATGAAGCATAATATGGATAGCAATGAAGAGCTAGTGAGAAACTAACAAGTCATTGTCACAGACAGATAGACAGATAGACAGATAGATAGATAGATAGATAGATAGATAGATAGATAGATAGATAGATAGATAGATAGATAGATAGATAGATAGATAGATAGACTTTATTAATCTCCAAAGGGAAATTGGGTCCTCATAGCAGCCAGTACTGTACTTAAGTAAAAGTACCAACACAACATTGTAAAACTACTCCATGACAAGTACAAGTCCTGAAAAGGAATCCAAGTATTATCAGCACTATACTTAAGTCAAAAGTACAAGTGACTTCCATATTTTAATGCATTTACATTTTGTTTAGCCCAGTGATGCAAATGTATATTAATTCTTCAATTTTTGTTATAGTTCTCTTTTTGTTGCTGTGCCTTTGTTTTACTTCTTTTGGGCCTCAAACAGTTATTTAAATGAAACCATTTGAGAAGTTTAGTGGGGAAATGTCTCTTTGGTAGAACTACTAAGACACCGCTTTTTATAAGGGGTCACAAGCCAAAAATGCATCGTGTACTGCACATTTTTTTAATGTAAAATCTTTAAAGGGGAACTTGGCAACTCTAGCCATTTCTTCGTTGGTTTCACTTTTGTCGTCGCATGTTTTCTCAACGAGCTCCCCCTATGGCTCTGGGACGTATATTCCAAAACACTGTCATAAAAAAACTCACTTGCGGCACCCTCCTCCCCCTTTCTACCGCTGCTGATGTGCATTGGTTGCCGGGCAACTTTTTCGTGTGGAGCAATGTCTACCGAGGTGGGTAATACATTCATCGTCGCTTGTTCTTATAGCCGGCGTGGCTGACCTGTATTGAGGGGGGTGTGTGCGTTTATGTGGAATTGCCATAAAGCAGTTTGTGTTTCTCGCTCGTTCTTGCTTCTCACGATACGTCCTATTTCCAATTTAACGGGACGGTAGTCCCAAAGTTGCAAGTTTGGTTTTCCGCCTGGGGACGCTAGGGGGAGCGGGGAAAGCCACCATTAACACCGGAACAGACCATTTAACCATCCAAATGATTTCTAAACGGGTTTATTAAGTTGAAATAGTTGCCAAATTCCCCTTTAATTAAAAAGTAACTAGTAATTGTAACTGTCAGATAACTAAAGTACAATATTTCCCTCTGAAACGTAGTGAAGTATAAAGTAGCAAAAATTGGAAATAGTCAAGTAAAGTACAATGACCTCAATGTAGTACTCAAGTACAGTACACAGTCTACAGTCACAGGGTGTGAATGTACCTTTTGACAGCAGCAAGCTTGGACTCCTCTGCTTTTATGTATTCCCTCAGAGACTGGACCAACTCTTTTTCTGTGTAGATCAGATCTGTCATTTGGCCTGCAGACAGATATTGTAGATGAGTGAGAGGTGTCACTGAAGATAAAATCAGCACCATTAAAAGGGTGCATTCTCTTTTAATTTCCCCTTTGACAAAAAGCTACTTACGAATTCAGGTTATTTGCAGATTTTGTATTTCCTTAACACATCTACCTGTTTCTTATTGAAAACTAAAAGAGTTGCTAGAACTGGCAACTTTTACAACTTTCACCTCTGTTGTGCTTAGCTTTAAAAGACGGAAACACTGCTTGCCGCATACCAAAAATAAATCCTAAGCCACAATCTGTGGGCCTTTGATTGCATAGAATTACTCAGCAAACTACAGTGGGGGTGTTCATCCATGAGCCTTTGAGGGGACGATTGGGGTGTAGCATGCATAGTAAACAATTCCATGGAAACAGTCAGCCATGATTAATTCACAGGGGCTGCCAGGGAAGAGGAATAATGAAACACGTTCATTGTCTTTGCAAGCAACCAACATAACTGACCAGCCAAATGTCGTAAATCAATGTGATTTAAATGACAGTTTTAAGTGTTTATCTCCTGAGATGCAGCCTTCTGAGTCATGTGTTGCATACTGTATATAAGAAGGCTTTTGTAAATCAGGGATCCTCTTCTCACATATTAGATAAAGAAAGGTAATTGCATAAAAAGGCAAATTAACTGTTTATGGGGGATTTTGCAAGGGAGTTGTTTGTTGTTTCTTCTGATTTGGGGTCAAGAGACCTTAATTTCACCTGCAGAAATCATGCTGAATGTGTCTGACTTTGTTTTAAGGAATCAGTGGACCACAATTATTTCTCTTAAAAGTTATTCAGAGTGCTTCAAAATAAACTCAGACTTTAGTGGCTTCCTTGCCACTTCCTCCATCTAAAACCATTTGTTATGGCAAAGGAAAGACATGCATTCCTGAGCTCCGAACTCTTTTCTCTTCTAAATGTGGTGCTCCTATTCATTCGAGTCAGACAAGCTTTAGTGTAACTGATTACCAATATTAAATGTCCTAGTTAAACTGTACTGCAGTTTTTTTAAAGAGTCATATGACCATGTTGTACCATGTACCACACTTTTTGTTATTATGGCCAAAGATTCAAGGTTTGGATTATGAGTAATACACTAGGTGAGCCTTACTTCAATCAGGAATAAATTATTGTATTCTTTATCAAAATAGCATTGAGCTCTATGCCCAATTCAGGTAAAGGTGACACAATTGGTAGGTTGTAGGTATGGACAGGTTGTAGCTACATATAGAGGTAAAAGGTCTTAGTCTATATTAGTTAACAAGACAACACTTGGAGGCCTAAAAATGTGACAATATGTATCCATGCCTACTGTATATTTAGGGTTTTACTGTGCTGTACTGTATTAACAGCCTTCTGAGGCCAATATACACAATAATAACAAAATATTAGCCTTAATGTCTATTTTAACATGTAAATAAATAATGTATTAAAGGGGATTTGGTGGCAAACTGAGTCCAGAAACTCTTGCAATGGATCAAATGAAAGCTGGAGATTTTAATCTAACAAAAATGGTGAGGGAGGAAAAAGTCCACATAGCTCTTTAAACCTACTAATGGACGTGAAGATCTCTGCCTGCGTTGTCCTGCAGCAGCAGCACCAGAGGAGAGCCCAGAGGATGTAAGACAGGGACCTCCTCATTCTGTCTCTTTCAATAACCTGGAAGGACAAATATAATCACATCATGTCACAACAGATTTACACAGTCCAAGATCATTTTCATGTAGCAAAATACTCCTGTGTAGCAAAACACTGTTACACACTGTTCTGTTATTCTTCACAAGGTTATTGAACAAATTGTGCCCAACTCTATTAAACTATGGAACACCATTTAAAACTCCATCTGTTCCCCCATTTAATACTGTGTTCATCAAAAATGGGCATTGTGCTGTGCTTTCATATTTATTTCTATCACAAATGGGCCCTCTAATTCTTAAACCACACATAAATAAACTTGCAGTTGGCATTACCCTCATAGTCAGAGTCAATAGTTTATGCAATGATGCTGTGTTTCCGCACTGAACTACATGATGGTCTGACAATATTCAAAGTTTCCAGTGTGTTTCCTGTAAATGAGTCACTAATCCCTGCTGGGAGGCATGCCGTCATAATATCCTCAATGCCCAGTTCTCATTAAAAAAGGACAATGTGGAAAAAAGAACAGTGTTTTACAGCAATAAAACATTCTTTATCTACAAAATATATTGTGTATATCTGTTATTTTCCCATTGCAGATGCAACCATAGGAACAACATGCATATTATAAAATCATGAAGTCCAATGTGAAGGTCAGTATGTTCATTTCCCTTTTCTTTGCTCTAATCGTGAGTTCAATGTGACCAAGTAAGTTATCCAGTACAATTCTTTTTTTTCTGATGAAGAGTAAGCAATTAGGAAAATAACTGGCAGTTTAATCAACAACATAAAATAATATTAGTTGTAGCCCTACAATTTGCATAATTAAAAGTAAAAAACAGAGCGAATATACACTAAACATTAAGTAAGATTATTGTTATTAAGCTGTTCCAGTTCAAACAGCTATGTAAAGCTTATTGTTTCTAGGTTTATTATGATTTTCTTGTCAGACATTGTCACATTTCCCCTACTAATATTTGTCCTATTAAAATAAACCTTATCCAGGGCAAAGCATTATGAGTTGTGTAGGCTTTCAGATAGATCTGACAACAGAGCTGAAGTAGAAACAGCAGGACTAAACAAAGGCGTATCACCCTTGGCAGACTCTCTGTTCCCATTCCAGCACTGAGACCAGCTTCATGGGGATTGTTTAAATGAAAAGTGATACTGCTCCACTTTCTCCACTTCACCAAATTACTTCTCAGTGATGACTGTTTACTGTTGCCTGAGTAAAGCATTAACATACATCCATACCTTCAAATGTAAGCACACATACACATACTTCTGTCTGCACCACCATCTAATCAAAGGCTTACAGACGGACGTTCTGAAGCAGAAAATTGGCACAGTAACTGTAAGTGTTGTAAGTAATTACTTGGTGATGGATCTGCTTCAGGTGTAAAAAAAAAAAAAAAAAACTTACATGACACCTGCTGACAAAATACTAGTTAAATACTTGAGTTGCTAAAAGAAGTCACAACAAAGTCATTTTTTAAACAAACATGATGGAAGGTAGACGTTGGATTATTTGTGAGTGTGACAAATGGATCCTTTTAATGAGGCAAACATGCCATGCCATATGGTACTAACCAACATTAGGTGTTATTGATGAAAGGCTGTGAAATGGCTTTTAAAAAAAAAATATATATATAAATATAAATAAACTTGTTGTTACTAATCCTTTAGGTGAAAGTTAAAGCTAAAAGTTTACAGTTTTCTTTAGCCTTGTTTTAGCATTTACAGTTACTTACTTACTACTATATCAAATACAATTCCCAGAGTAACACATATTTGGTGGTTTTGGGTTGGGAGTAAAAGCATTTTATCAGTTTTCTCCACATAGTAATTCTGTCTCTTCCATTACGAGTAGAGCTGTCCTAACTTGTCTCCAAACATGCCTACATACTCTGCTACTCTCCTACATTTGAAATGAAATCGAGCCTCCTCTCCCAGAGATACTGAATGAATTGAAGGTTCTTCTGGCTGTGTCAGGAATACTCCTTTTATATAAAAAACTATACCTGTTGGTCAAATGGATGTGTCAATGGATTTGACACAAAAAATAATGTTACAAAAATGGAACAGCTCCTATGCCATGTCCATTGAATAAGTTTAACCTAACATGATTATTTGAAATGACTAAACACATATTTGTTATGCATGCATGATCCTTGTGGTCAGTTGGCTTGGGTGAACATGAGAGCAGACCACTGTGAGTCCCAAAGCCTTGCCTAAAAAACAAAAGATGAATAACATTTGCATCCGTTTGTGTGAAATATTTTGAGACCTCACCTGTGTGCAACACAAATAACACCACAGATTTCATTTCAGCATAGTGCAAGAACTCTCAAATCTCTCAAATGGATCTTTACTAGTACTGAGCTTCTAGTGTTTTACCTGGGAGGGCTGTTGGTTTACGTAGTGAGTGCCAGCCCAGATAACTATTACCACAGTCCTAAACTGCAAATGAAAGGGCCAAATCTTTCTCCTTGTAATTTACAGCCTGTGCGATTACCCGGGCCAAACACAGTCTTGCCTGTTGTTGCAGGCTGTAACATCCATGTCACATTCCTGGAAAGAGGCCTGTAACATTTACTACCCCACACTCACGAGTCCTGACCATCCCCTGGCATTTCTGGCAAACGTGGGGAATAGCACTGAGGACAGGGTATCATTCGAAAAGATCATGCGAGGACAGGACCAGACAGCTGTATTTTCAACATAGACCCCTACCATGCAACACATCTTCCAATGCTGCAGACCTGTGCTGTGTTTTATGAATTAAATAAAGCTATAAGGCAACCATCCATTTACCCTTTCCTCAAAATAAAATAGGGGTCAGCAAAAAAAATAAATGCTTATATCAGCTTGCAGGTTTTTTGATTTGCTGTGCAAACACTTTCTTCAACATCTCACAAGCTTTGTTCTTGCTATGAGACAGCCTGCAAAACATTCCTGAGCCTGGCAGCTAGAAGCCAGGTCAGTCAGCTAAACACAGGGCCTATTTATTGCTCATCAATGTGCAGCATAGTACTTCAGATGTATTTGATGCACAGTTCTGACTCTGAGGAGTTAAAGGTTGATCCAGTATGCCTTAAAATAATTCTGGTCTGGTCTGCAAGGCTTCTTGTTTTCACCTTAACAGACATTTTAACTGACAACCAACTTTTGTTCCTCCATTGGTTTACAAGTGATTATTGGTGTAATGCTCTGGCAAAATGTGCCTGGATTTAATGATGACAGCAAACCACAGGAACTCCTCTGTAGCTTACTGTTGGCTTCAAGATTCTCCAGACTTTTGCTGTTTACATGGGAGGTGTGGCTCTATGAGAGAGATAAGAAACCAAAGTAACACACTCTCTGGCAAAACAGTCGGGATCCAAGGTCTGCAATGGGGCAGGGGTTTCCTAGGAGCCAACGCTTACTCAGACAGCGAGATGTTCAACATCTGTAGTCATCTCATTCTTCCTTTCTGCCGGACAACAAATCTGCAGAAATAAAAACCTGGCTGTTCTGAGCAACAGCTGTCTTATTTCACACAAGTGTCAATTTAGGAAGTTAATAAAATATGCATCTTTTTAAGTTTTGTGGGAAAGAAGATTAAAACATATGTAAAATGACAGGATAAATTCTATTTCTAAAACCTGATTTACGATAACACTGATCTTTCTCATCCTTTTTGAAGGGCTGTTTGAGTATAGTATAAATTAATAAGAAATCCAAACAAGAGCGACGCCAAAAAGAACTGCAGCTCAATGGAGTAGCAGAGTGTTGTCAAGACAACTGGAGCAATAGTTCAATATTGTTGCAAAAGACCTATCCAAACTCTTTTTAAAGCCTTCAGTAGTTAAGGGTGTTCTTCAAGCTAAACTGGCCTTTCAGAATCACATCTACAGAGGTACAGTGGCAGTTCGCATTTTGTGCTGTAGTGTGAAAGAGACAAAGAATGGTTGATGCTAAACAGGTATTTTTCTGACTGATGTTAATCAGTAAGCAAGACTGGTGCATATCTCCCACACACAGGCATAGCCAAAATACGACAGACAGACATAATCATGCTGACACACATGCGTGCAGGGTGATACATGCGTGCTAGAGTATGTGCATGTACACACAGTATCCACAGGCTGTGAACATGCTCAGACAATCCCTGCCTGTCACACTCAAGGAGATTGAACTCTCTCATCTAACAAAGAAAACAAATTCAGATTCAAACTTGAAACTTCATTTCTGCCGCTCTGTGCATTTCAGTTTACACAGTTTCCTCCTCAATTAGACTATCCTCAGTCCTTTGACAGGAATGCTGATAAGTGAACAGATGTCCTGAACAGTTGCTTAGTAACAGCAGTGAACAACAGAGTTCACTCTGAACACAGTCGAGTCAAACTAAGGGAACAATAATTCGCTTTGACTTTCACTTCCACTTATCAACACATGATGGATCGAGGGAGTTTCTAGTTCTGAGGAAATTTTGCAACATCGGCTGACGAACAAAAATACTTCTTACATCGGGATTTAGTCTCTCCATGCTCTGTGACAAAGGAAATGAGCATTTCCGATATAGTTTAGCTGACCCTGTAAACTAGACAGCATCTAGCTCTAGCAAAAAGAGCTATGAAAAAGGGTTAACATGTTTTCAAAGTCCTAGTCCAACATTTCTGCTGACCATATGTGGTTGACATTAAGGCAAATTTGTTTCAGATGCAATGAGAGCTGGGGAAAAAAAACATCTGCAGCCATATTGCAGCTAAAAATGGGCTAGATCTATTTTACCTTGAGAGACAATCATGACTAAATGCTCTCCCCTGCCCCTAAAAGTGACTAAACATCCTAAAGTGGCAGCTGGTAGCCCTAGGATAGTATTACCAGACTGCTGTGCTGCAATCATATTCATCTCCGCCTGATAGAAGAGCTCATTCATATCCCTCGGTCACTGTTTATAGAGCTTGGCTCATTTTAAACCTTGTATTAAAATAAAGAGACAAACAGGCTCAAAGTTGAATGCATTAGTTTACATCATAAAGCCCAAACAAAGTTTTTTTCTGTGCACCATCCACTCCCAATAGCCTTTTCTGGTATGCAACCACAGATAATGTTTAATAAAACAGACACAAATGTTGAATAAAATGTATTACCCAGGCACTTAGCACCGCTTCAATATGTATGATAAAAAGACACCAGATGTGGACACTGGCTGGAGCTTACACAAGGGAAAGGAGACAGACATAGAAACGGCTAGATCATCAGACAGAGACTCCCATAACTTAATAAAGCTGTTCCGTTTTTCAGCTTTATCTAGCAAGACATCATCTACCGAAGCGTGCATGTCACCTGCCTTACAGCCCAATTACTGCTCACAGATCCATGGCATCCCTCCATTTGTTGCCTTACATTTATACACAATTCAGTGGCTGCTTCAACTATTGCCATTGTACTGCATAGAAATCACTGCAGGGCATCACTCACCTGGCAGGCCTACAACCTATTATACTAGGACTGGGTGTACAGTGACATTTAGGGCTATTTGCCAAGGGATGGACAAAGCAAATGTGTTCTCTTTTGGAGCTTTGTATCTACGACCTAACCTTTTGAATCCAAGGAGCTACTTTGAATTTACTCAAATTAAAGGTCGGTTCAAGAGCATATACAATTAGTCGATTGGTAGTTATCAACAGAAAATTATTTTAATTCAATAAACTATTTCGATAGTTGTTCCGTCATTTTAGTAAATCTTCGAGTAAAATTTCAAAAAGTTATTTTTTTCTTTGTCCAATGTTCCAGTAAACTTTGAGTTTTAGATAATTTGTCAGACAAAACAGGAATCTTAAAGTATATCCTGACCACTACAGGATTTTTGAGGCAACAATCTTGATATAGATCCCTTCAATTTTTTTCTTTTTTTAAATTGTGACCAACATACATGCTGTGTGGGATATTTTACAGCGTACAAATCTACTTGTCAGTGCTCTCTGGTGGACTAACTATTTAAAGTTGACAGTGCTTCTACCTAGATTGGCACTTCTGTTCCACACTTTCTTGTTACTTATCTGTTGAGTTATAAACCGATGCCGTACGTCTACAGTAAGCTAACACCAGGCGATACATCGGCTGATTAATCAGTCTAGGATTCATTTGAAGACGCAGGGTTGGGTTTTAGGAAATCGTGATTCTGAGAAATTGGGATTTTTGTTAATACATGGTTTAAAATCAGTCCCACTCTGTAAATAGTGACCCTGTGGTATAAATGAGCTTTTCTACCAAGAAGAGACTAATCTGTTTGCAACACAGCAATCTGGTAATAGTTTACTACCCCTTGTCTGAATGCCATGTTAAATTGTTTCCTTGTATCTGAAACAAATGATTAAACAAGAAAAAAATCTGCAGATTACTCAAAAAAATTGAATTGTTGGTTGGGAATAAGAAATATATATATATTTCTTATTCACCTATTTCGGTATATAGCCATGCAAACATTTTGTTTTCCCCAGGTTTTGAAAATACGCATCTCTGAGATTTCAGATTTTGCCTTTGGATCTCACAGAAGTAATAATTGTACTTTTATAAAAACATTTCTTTCCAAAGACAGCTTTCCCCAATTACTCTGGATAATCCACAGACCTCACACTTATTGGGACTTTTTCTTTGTTAGAAGAACAATTTCTTTTTTGGTAAACCAACTCTTTAAGAAAAAACTACAAAATGCCTGTCTTTTTTGTGTGAACTGTAGTTAGCTCTGAGCAGCAGAGGAGGACTGGAAACTCTGCTGCCGAGTCTGCTCATCATCTCCAGCTGGAGAGTAGCCGTCCCGGTGACGTCAGCCCAGTTGTTTCTAGAAATTCCCAACAACTCCAACTCCGAGGGTCGCGCGACCGTCCTGCAGCCTGTGTCGTGGGTTACTAACACTGCGCCACAATTAAAAAGACACTGTCACTTCCCGCTTTTAAATAATGTGCGTAGTAAACAATGTCATGTAAGCGACACCGTCTGAGATGCTCTGCGAGAAAGTTTCAAAAAACTTTCTCCACTTCAGCTGTGAAACATTGACACCCGACTGCCTCGCAGAGTCTTACGTTACATTGTGACCAACATGTCGGACATAAACACAGACCTTAATGAAATAACGAGTCGCCGCTGCTTTACCTTCTTGGTACAACAGGGTCTCGGGTGTCTGCTAACGCGTTCCCCCTAAAAAAAAAAAACCTGTTGGACCCAGTTATTGACAACCATCCCAGCATGTTCGGTAGGCACGCGAGCTCAACGATTCAGCCCCCTTTCAGAGATGATAACATGAGCTCTGTGGCCGATTAGATACAGTATTTAATGTTGTCTTACCTTTATTCTCGTGGGTTTTAAGGAACGCTGTCACACTTTGCAATGTGGACGCAGTTTCACTTGGCACCCAGGGGTTATGAGTAGGACAGAGAGGGGTTTTTAGTCGCTGCCACGTACAGAACCTCCTGCAGGGCTGAACTTAATCCTTCGAGTAGACGCGCAGGGACATTCTTAGTCGAATTTAATGCGTTGCTTTCAAGTGCACCTCGTAAACTCTGATTTCTGACCTTCAGGTTGGACAATCGACTTCTCGTACTCAGAAAAAATGGCTAAATATTTATTTTTTTAGAGAAAAGGGGTGTTGAAGTCCCGTTATACTATAATTTTATTTGTTGAAATAACATATACATATATAGAATATATACTAGATTACTGCAATATTATTGAAGCGTGAACATGTAAGAAGCATTTAAACGTATCACCTGGTTGAGGGACTAATTGTATATAATGCAGCACGTTTTTTTCATGTACGATCTGAAACTGCAAAATAATTAAAGCTGTAACTAAATGAGTAAAAAGTAAAATATTACCCTACTTGAGTAAATATTTCCATCACTGTTACCAGCCAAAGGTAACAGAGTGCCAGTAATGATGAAGAATTCGGATATTGCAGTATAATCTCTATAGCAGCAATTGACAGTCATGATGATTTGAGTTAAAAGTAGACATATTTTCCACTGCAACCATATGCCAGTGTGTCTGAAAGGGGGGGTTCGGCTAAATCCTGAGAATTTTACAGCATCCAGTGAAAGTGTATGTGTGACCGACAGACAACAATCTTAGTATTGCATTTGATTCCCAGTCTCCAAATATGATGTAGTGTTATCAATAAAAGTCCCTTTGCAGAAAACAAATAATGGTACATTCAAAAGCCTGCTTCGCTTTACAGTTTGATCTTTTAGAGTATTTACGGTAACGTAATCCATGCGATCCGTCACGTTTACAGTTCGGATCTGGGTTTCCAGAGCTTGTTCTCTGGTTCGACTCAACGCCATCTGGAAAAAAACATTTGGACATGGCTTTTCAATTATCTGCTGTTCTTGAAGTTTCTGTGGTTCTGTTTCTGTCCCTGTGTCTGATGTCTCTGTAGGGTATGTGCAAGTGAAGTCAATGAGAGACTTTATTAAGGCCATCCCAAATAAAAGATTTAAGATATCTTAATCACAGGCAGTAGGACTGTAAGGAGGGATAAAATGCTTTGGTAGTGATAAACATGTGGCAGGCAGAGGCATATCTGATGAAACACTCCTTGTGATTGCAGCACAGATACTTGCATTGTCTCTACAGTGAATAACAGTATATTTAAGATGATAATATGGGAGGAGAGGAATAATTCAGCTTTTCATTTTCTTTTTTTTTTGTCCGAGAGACATTTTTATTATGATATTATATTATCATTAAGTATATTAATTTATTTATTTATTTTAAAAACATCATAATGTACGCTTATAAAATAGGTGTATCTGATTTCTGATAAGACATATAATCCATAGATTTATATTGATGAAAATCTTGTGTATGTTAATACTTGTAATGTGGTTTGTACAGCAGATGTCACTGTGAGCGAACAAAAGAGCCCCCTCCCACAACCGATACATGTAAATTCAACCAGCAGCTACACAGATACAAATCATTACAGAGTGATGATGATTCATTTTAATCAGCATTCTGAAATGTTTCTATTGATTTGTAGTTATTATCCCTGATAAATGGGGACGTTAGAGGCTATTATAAGGATATCAAGTGAATAAAACTCTTGGGTACAGCCATGTTCATCTGACACAGATTCTTCGCTCACATTTACTTCCCCCCTCTCTCTCTCTGTGATTTCCTACTCATCATTACTCACAGGGGAGGAGAGAAAGCAAACTGTATTTAAGTAAAAGGGCAGACACTGCTGATATAAATAGCAGCATGTGTCAGACCTATTTAACATTGTTTCATCAACCTTTTCATAATTTTATGAGAATTGCTTACGGACATGATTTTGAACAGAAAACATGTTTCAGAGGTCTGCTATAGAAAATAAAGCATCACTTCTGTTTGGGACCCCAGCTTAAATACAACAGAGTTTGGATCCAAATTGTTCACATTAGCTGCTAAAAACATAATACGTTTTACATGCAGAGCCAGCTGTATTATGGGTGTTTTTTAAGTCGCTGTATGCTGGGCATTTGTATGCGCATGACGCAATAACTAACTAACTGACAAACTATCTATGGTGAAATAAATTATTTTATGGTCTTAATGTTGTCACCATGTCTTAAACACGTAGATGACTAATGTACATACAGAAATATTTGCACCATAAATTTAAGACAAAAAAATGCCAGGTCAAAATGTAGAATTGAAGAAATTGTTTCAGACTTAAATCAAGCCATTTTAAAAGTATCTTCACAATCACATTTACACATTTACTTATTGGACAGTGTTGGAAACAATTTAAGGGTCCTTTACCTTTACCAGTATGACGTTATGATTTTTTTTACCCTGTGATTTAAACTGCTGAGGAACAATGTAGCTGCACTGTTCACTAATGTCCACTGAGTGTCAGCAGTGTCCAATGGATAAAAGACAAACACTTTCAAAATCAAGGCATTACCTTTGCCATTAAAGTGGTGCCAAGTTGCTCAGTGACAGCCAGAAAACCTTTGTTGATTTATTGGATAATGCTTTAGAGGAATTTTATGCCTGACTTTTAACTGGGTGTAGTTTGAATGACGTGTGAGATCAGCAAAACAAGCTCTCTTTAATCCACTACACGTGAATGAGAGTCCCCTAAAGGGGTCCCAAGATAAATCTGAATGGTCGCAAGATAGAAGACTAGAAAAATACTCTTTCTGCAGTATCAATGTACGTTTGCTTTTCACATTCTCTTTTGGTCTTTGGGCATCAGGAAACAAGATTAAAACAATCTTAGCAGGAAGAATCACTCATTAAAGGTGGGGTCAGTCATTCTGGAGAAAGATAGTTAATTGCTGAATCTCAATCCTAAATTGTCAAATATGTTTTCGGTAACCAAACTTTGAGCACCACCATGAACACAACCTGTTGTGTTGCTCGCTGTTTCCCATTTAACATAACCCAAAGCATTGATATTTGATGACTGGCAATGAAACGTAAGTATCAATCATCTGTCTCCAGAATGAGTAACCCCACCTTTAACAGTAAAACAGTCAAAAAGCCAAAAGGTGTGGGAACACCTGGCTTACAAAATACAAAAAAGTGACCTGCAAATTGTTGATGTTTATGCTTTGGTCAACAGGTGTCACTCTTTGCCCATTGCACCTTTCACACACTGATAACATTCAATGTTGTATAAATCCTCAATGTCTCACATTATCTGTCACTTATCTGTTTGTTTGTTTGTATGCACATCTGTAGTTGTAGAAAGCCACCTTTCCCACAAGCGGCACAATAATGCAGAATAATCATCATAAATCTGGCCTTGTTGACACAACAGGGTGACTCTGTTAGCTAAACACAAAGGTATTTTGCTTGCCGTGCTGTCAAGGTTGAGGAATAACACATCAACCATCAGGTCATTTTCACACCTGAGCAGAAGCTTTGTGCTAAAAAAAAACAAAAAACTCTGTGAGACTATGATTTAGTAATAACACACAGAGAACTGAATGTTTGGCATGTCACACATCCCGACACACATAAACCAATCAGAGAGAAGAAAAACAAACAGTAAAACAATTTTGAGGAATGTGTCATCCATATTTGAAATATAGCGTTGTTGACATTGTTTAGCGAATGTGACGTCAGTGCACAAAATATGTTTTTTGGCTCCACGTGGAATCAGCGGTATCTCATTTTGTGAGTGTTTCACAATGACAAAATGACTACAGAAAACCAAGCATCTACCTCTACCCATTCATTTAGTGGAGGTTAAGGTTTTCCAGATGTTTCAAGGGCTTCCTTAGGTTAAACCTCATCCTGTGCTTGGCTCTGGCTGGTAAGTCGTGCATCGGAAAGGTTGCAAGGTCAAAGATGCTCCCTTGTTTTGCAGAAATGATTTAAGGAGGACACACACAAGAGAGACAATGTTGCACACGTGTATGTGAGTTGTTATGCATGTCATCTCTCTGTACTAGCCGAGCCTGATTGATTGAAAGTGAACACATACGGAGCAGGTTTGGGGTTTCAGCCGCTTTAATCAAACCTCATCAGCTGAGCTTAGGGACTTGACAGTGACTCCAGCCTGTGTGCCATTTATTCCACCCTGGTGGGAGTTTAAACAACACAGTGAGACACAGAGAAAACAATTCAGTGTGTGTGTGTGTGTCTGGTCCAGTGACTCAAGCCAGGTAATGAGGCAGAAAAAAAGACGTTAAAAACACAAAGGAGGGTTCATGCAGTCTGCTGTGTGAGAGGGAGCGTTCCCATGAGTGTGTGTTTCTCTTCTATCAGGTAAAGATGCAACTTTTTGTTACAAGATGTCTTTAAACTGTTAGTGGATTCAAATAAAGCATTAACATTTTTGTGAAGCACACATGGCGCATTTTCTTGTGGTCTGTGTGTGTGTGTGTGTGTGTGTGTGTGTGTGTGTGTGTGTGTGTGTGTGTGTGTGTGTAGCTCCAGTGCTGAGTAATGAGTCAGGGGCGGCGGCAGTACCTGAGGATTGGGTTACATGAGCTGTCTGTCAGCACAGACAAAATGAGCCCCCTCGGGACAGAAGAGACAAAGTGTCAAATACTATTTAGAAGTAATCCCTCACATTTGTTTTAGGGTGGTTGGACACCTAAATGGGTGGTGCATGACATCTGATACCTTTAGAAATCACAGGAATGTATTGTGTTAAGTTAGCTTGATTGTTGTGTTATTGACAACTTCACTGGCAGCCTGTGAATCCATCCATTTTGTATACCCACTTATCCTGTTTAGGATCACAGGAGGATCATCTGGGTGAGAGTTCCAGCTACATGCAATTTAGAGTCACTAATTCAACTTCTACCTTTTGGTGTGGAGTTTGCATGTCTGCTAACCACTGACTCACCATGCCTTCCAGTCTGAGAAGATAAAAAGCAGCTTCAAACTTTTGCTAGTGCTCACTAAAAAAAAATGCAAAGTAGTAAGTAGAGTCTGGAGTAACTCCTGGTTAGGTCTGAAAAACACATCAATAAATAATGATTATAAAG